TATTTTTTTTCTCATCATATCAATGCCAACAGTTAAGTACCCACTGTATTTCAGATATGTATTAAACTCACTTTCTTTGTTTTTGGTTTTGTGTTTTTGTTTTAAAAAAAGAAAATCAGATGGTTGCCACATGTCTGCCCACCCTGCAGTTTATAGAACAGACAGGATGCCATTTCACCACTCGTGCCACTTTTTCGGCGCTTCTGTTTGCCTCAATGTTTGGGTGCAATATGAAATCAGAGAGCAGAGGTGGAGATGTATTCATTGCCTCTGAGCGTCTGTGAGTCATCCCTGAGCAAGCAATTCTCCATTGTTAGTTCCTAGCACTAGTGTGGTATGCTAGTAACCAAACAATTTGTATGGTTTTGATTTGGTTTTGATTTTTTTTTCTTTTGTTTTTCTCTTATAAAGACATTTTCAAAATAAATATTTTGTATTTTAAGGATTTTTGTCTTGTCTCTTGCAAAAAAAAATGCAGATTGTAATTTGATGTGGTAAATTTAATTGGCCAATCAGCTATATTTGTTTTACAGTGTGAGAGTGAGAAGACTGGGGATTTACATTTTGCAAAGTGTTGAAATGCACTTAAGAATGGGAGCGTGACTCAGACAATGTGTACATTAGTTAAGTGGGAATATTTCTATTAATCAATGGAGAAGTCAAAGAAAAAGTATTTAGGCAGTCAGAAACAATTCTTAAAATTACCCCACGTGAAAACAGATGTTGACACTATCAAATACAGAATTCACCCGAGAGTCTCTTCCTCCTGCTGCTATACTTGTCACACCTCACATCAAAGGGCATTAAATCAGTTAAACGGACAGATTTGAATTGTCTTTGATTTGTACTTAAATTGTGTGATGTTTACTTGACCCATGCTGTCAAACTTGGGTACATGTTTTATTTTTACTGCACAAGTCTATAAGTTCACCACAAGAGATACTAGAGCATCTGTGAACAGCTGTAACTGGACATCAGCGGGCTTAGTTCTACAACTTTTCCCATAATATCACATTTCAATTTTCTTCACACCACAGTGTTCAAACAAGCGCCACAAACTGCAGGATTTCTTTCTTCCTTTCCTGTCAAGACTTAAGAGGAATGATGAGCACAATCATGTTAATTTAACTAGCTGGCATGCTCATCCAGAAGAGTAAGACCTGGAAGTCTTGAGAATTTGTTGACAAAGGTACAGCCTTTCACTGTGAACTTTTGTTAAACATCCAAAATAAAGTTTTTACATCGCCTTCTAATTCAAACTAAATGTTTTTATATTTTATTTGCACATTGCATTTTAGAAATATTAATGTAGATGTCAGGTATCATCCTAACAAAACAAAGAATTTCCTTATGTTCCCTTTACATCCCGGCAGTAAAAAAAGAAATGACAGAAATCTTGATCTTCCAGTATCTGGATGTCGCAGGGCTGCCACAGATACCGGCCTACCTGCTTGTCTACCTACATACCTGCGTGCCCTCACTGAAAATGTGTTTTGGGGGAGTGGCTTTGGGATTTTTTAGTTTGATACTTTTCAAAATCTTTAAGCTTTAATATCAAATATACAAGTGGTTCCTTATTTCAAACATTTTTAAACAAGTCTAATGTTCAGATGAGTTAAAATCAATAATTAATTTTAAATCGTATTCATTTTGCATTTGTGAGATGTACAAAGGACAGACAAGGAAAGTAATGCACTCATTTTCTTTATATTTAAAATTTAAATATTTATAACAATTATAATATGATATGAACTGTAATGTTTAGCCCCATGGTGGAAGGAGGAGACATGGACTCAGGAGTTCTTCACCTGGTGTTTCAATTTATTTCTTCACCAGATACATGGAAAGTGCAGTTGTGCGAGTGTGAATTATTGCCAAAAAATATCAAAAATTAACAGAAAAACAAACAACAACGAAACTAAGTATAAACTATTCAAATTATCATTACAAACTGATATTAAACAACACAAAAACTATTCCTGACTATTGTGCTCTAGCACATGGCACACCACTGGCTTAAATAATAATAATAATCTTTATTTGTAGAGCACTTTTCAAAAACATCAAATCCTCTGCCCGAGGATCTCAAGGTACGTGCTGGTGTTTATGGGACTAAAAGTTCAGAAATATAACAAGGCGAGAGGCCATGAAGAGCTTTAAAAGTGATCAATAAAATTTTGAAGCCAATTCTAAAACATACTGGGAGCCAGTGTAATGAAGCTAAAATAGGAGTAATGTGGTCATATTTCTTTGTTCTGGTTAAAAGCCTGGCAGCTGAGTTCTGGACAGTCTGGAGTCAATCAATAGATTTTTGGGTTAAACAGGTGAAAAGCCTGTTGCAATAATACAGGCGTGATGAGATGAAGGCGTGTAAAATGGTCTCGGTGTCCTTAAAAGTTAACATAGATCGAATCTTTGCTATATTTCTAAGTTGATAAAAACATGATTGAACAAGCTTTGTGGTGTGCTGCTCGACACCAAGGTTCTTTGCAACAGGCTTAATGTGATTTACTAGGGAACCAGCAGATGGCAGTATTTGTTTTGCCATCTGCTGGGACCCAATGACCAGGATTCAGAAGTTCAGCTGGAAGGAATTATTTGACTTCACAAAGGCAGTTGTTAAGTGAACTCAGCATTCCAGGGTCTGTGGATCTGACGGGCAAGTACATTTGTGTGTCATCAGCATAAATATGAAAAGAAATACCATGTTTATGGATAATATGTCCAAGGAGAAGCAGATACAAGGAAAACAAAATGGGTCCTAAGACCGACCCCTGAGGCACACCATATTTAACTGGACAGAATGAAAAGGCAGTTGTTTAGTTAAATGAAGGCATGGGGAAGCCCCATGACATGAACATTTGAATATAATATGGTATTAGTTAGCTTTAGCTCAGTTTCTTATTTCCCCTCCTTTTAATTTATTTATTTATTTATGGAGAGTGGCCTGTTTCACAGAGTTGTATCATAATATAATAATACATTTTATTTGTAATGCACTTTACATTTAAAACAAATCTCAAAGTGCGATAAGGTAAACAAACATCAAATGATTAATGTTATATTCTGTTTTATATTCTGTTTTTATCACTAAACATATAAGCATATTTTAATGTTATAGTTTGTCAATGTGGAATACACTTGAGATACTGGATATAACGTATATTACGGGGTGGATTAGTAATAAAGTACTGCATCATATATAAACCTATCCTGTTAGCCATGTTTTTTTTAATGTAAAAAGAAATTAGTAACTTTAGGTGTCAAGAGGCAGTAGCACGTCTGTGTGTGTGTGTAAGAGTGAGCACAGCAAGGCATCATCAAAAACACCAGAAAAGGAAAATGTTTTTTGGTTAAAATAGCATGATCAGCAGAGGGCATGCCTAGGACACAGAGAGGGGGAGCATTGCAGACAAAAAGTTAGACATCAGTCAAGAAACAGTCATCAGTGATTATCCTTAATCAATATTAATAATCATTGTTAATCATTTTAACACAGAAGCAAGCTCACTGTGGTTAGATCATGAGTGGGAGGAATGACTGCAGGAAGTGGCTGCAGGTGGTTCGCCTTGTCCAACTCATCTTCTGTAGATTATGACCATAGGAGAGGCTGCAGGTGTGCAAGATCTGCCGACACTGTGACAGTGCATGCTTCGTTCTGCTGTTATCTACTGTTGTGATTACATGAGGAACTGCTGATGTGTTAATCTGCTAATATTAAGACTACATGCTTAATTACTGATTAAGGGGTTTGATTATCAACTTCCAACCTCTGGTTATTATAGCCAGTGTGAGCTTTGAGTGAATTTGCTTATAACCTGTGTGAACTTTGAGTGAACTTGCTGAAGGAATACTTGCTTTGCAAAAAAGCCAAAAAACCATCAGATTCTCGATAAAAAAAAACACGATAGACAGGATGACCAAAAAACCATCAGATGCTCGATAAAAACACGATAGACAGGATTATCAAAAAACCATCAGATGCTTGATAAAAACACGATAGACAGGATTATCAAAAAACCATCAGATGCTTGATAAAAACATGACAGAGAGATAATAAGCAGAAAGCAGAAAGCAGCCAGCATAACATCAAGATTGCTGTAAGAAACCAAGCATTAATGAAAAATGCAACTTGACTTATGTTATTCTTATATTAATTGTTTAAAAAATATAATTGTGTGTCAAATTAAGCATGCGTAACTTTTAAAAAATACGGTGAGACTGAGGTTGAAATGTAAATGATGAACTTCTTCTCCAGTAGAAAGTTAACAATACAGTAATAAATGACAGCTGGGGAACAGTGTTAATTGGTAAAAGCAACACAACAACAGAGGAAAAGAAGTTCATCATGAGGAAAGGAGGGGGTAAACCAGCCCAGAAGAGATATATATAAGACTGTCTGCAGACCATAGCATTGACTTCATCCTCAGACCTGCAGGAATGTTGTACGGGTTTGTTTGCCTCTTTTTCACCGACTCTTGACCATCTCCAGAGAAGTATTTGATTGCAAATTTATTGACTATAATAGAAAGCTAATGGAGTATTTTTTGACAAAGATTATAAAGCTGGTGAAGGTGGGGACCAGGCTTAACTGGCCCAGCCTGGTCGCACATCTGACCCAACTGAACATTATAAGAAATTTGTTAGCCACGTTTTTCTATAGTTTTTGAGACTGATGGTCCTCCTCATTAAACCAGGGTACATAATGTTTTAATAAATATTGCCTCAGAAATGTTTTATTGCATCTTTTGTGGCAAAAAATCAACATAGTCTATATTTATATTTTGTAATATATTAGTATCGGTTTGTTATCTAGATTATTTTAAATGAACTAATTAATTAGCTTTGGAATGTTTTTGTAGTTTTTCATGGCACAAATCAAATGATTATTTATTATTATGATCCCATCTCTCATCTTTATAGGAGTGTTGCTTTTCTTTTTTTTTTTTCAGCTTCATTCGACGCATCTGTGCGTGATGACATCACAACGCGTCAGGAAATCCCGCCCCTTAGCTCGTCGCTTTTCTCATATCTGCAGTACTTCTGTCAGCTGAACGTTTGTGCTGAATAACTCTTGAACAGGGGTCAAAAACACGAAGATGTCTACTCGGGTGAGTTTACTTGAAGCGAATAGTAGAATTTAAATACAAGTACACCATGAGAGGGAAACACTGAATACTTAACCTAACGTGTACTAGAACTACAAGCTGTTTTTTTTTTTTTTTACACGTAAAGGAAGCCAACACAGCACTAGTCTGTATGGCAGAATCAGATGTCATTCAAAACTTTGTAGGTAGCCCGGAAGACGAATGCAGTAGTATCTTATGACTACTCAGACTGCTGTTAGCGTGCTACTTCTTTTCTAGATGTGAATTAATATGTGTAACAGCTTGGCCACTGAGCAACTTGAGACGTTAAATTGTATTGTCGATAGTGTTGTTGACTTCGACAGGCAGCTCCTAAAGGCTAAATCAGTGATGGCTTTTAAATGAAATGAAAGAAGTGTTGCAGCATTAAATGGCTAACAAGGAACTGAACTGCTGTTGAATGCTCAGTGGCCAGTTTCATGTTGGTGCATTGTAAAGAAGAGTATGTGTTTTTATCTATATGCGTCAGTGTTTTTTCCATAAATGCACTGCGCAGATGCATACAGCTGCCTGTTTATTAGGTACACCTCGGTAAAAGTGAAAGTATTGCAGTCTAATACAACTGCCTTGCAATCCTACCTAAATGGAGGTTATTATGGCTGCTATTTTATTATCTTCTTCATTAATCTACTAATCATTTTGTTTAAATAGTGTAAGTAAGAAAGTAAAGTTTATTTGTATAGCACCTTTCACAGATAAAAATCACAAAGTGCTTAACAATAAAATGTAAAATAATACAACATAGTAAAATACAATGCATAAGAAAATTTAAAAACATAGGGAAACATAGAACAAAACCCATAAAAACCTCTCATCTAACTAAAAGCCTGCTTGAATAGCAGCGTCTTCAGTTGCTTTTCAAAAGAATCGACAGAATTAAGACAACGTAGAAAGGGAGGCAATGCATTCCACTGCCTAGGTGCCACTGCTTGAAATGATCGATCCCCCCCCCGGTTTTAAAATGAGTGTGGGGAACCACTAACAACCTCTGACCTGATGACCTCAGACTACGGGTCGGAGTATGAAGCTGTATCAACTCAGATATGTAGGGAGGAACTTGACCATGCAGGGCTCTAAAAGTAAGAACCAAGATTTTAAATTGAATTCTACATTGACCTGGTAACCAGTGAAGTGCTGCTAAAACAGTTGTGATGTGCGCTCTTTTGTTAATGTGAGTTAAAAGCCTTGCAGCAGAGTTCTGAACAGCCTGGAGACGGTAAAGCTCCTTCTTGCTTAAACATGTAAAGACTGTTACAGTAATCTAAATGAGAGGAAATAAAAGCATGAATGATCATCTCCAACTCACCCTTTGACACGAGTGTTCTTAATTTGAAAATATTCCTCAGTTGGAAGAAACAGTTTCTGACTAATTGTTTAGTGTGGTATTCCAAGGACATTGCTGAATCAAAAACAACACCTAAGCTCCTGAAGGTCGGCTGGACAGATGAGCCTAAGTCACCAATATGCTGTTTAATCTGAGGGGTTCTACTTTCAGGGGCGATAATTACTGTTTCTGTTTTTCTCTGGGTTCAGAAGCAGGAAGTTTTCACATAACCACTGTTTGATACTGGTCAAGCAGTTAATTAAAGAAGACAATATATGGAATTCAGTTTCCATAAACGAGCAGTATAGTTGAATGTCATCCACATACAGATGGTAAGATACGTCACTGAATTGACCAAGAGGAAATGTATACAAAAGGAACAGTGATGCATGTTCATCTCAGTTTCCCCATAACCCAAGGTGGCGTCTTCAAAAAGCTTGTTCTGTCTGACTAAAATCCAAAAATAAACAGTTTAATTTCACAGAAAGCCAAAGATTTAGTCCCAGGGTCCCTGTCTGATAGGATGTTTTATTACAGATGCAAATTCAGTTATTGGAATGAGAGCAGGTTGATTTTTGTTTTGTTTTTTTCCGTATACCTTTTTAAATCACTGGGTTGACGGGATCTGAACAAATACTCCTATTGAATTGTTGCTTTTAGTATTCTGTTATATGGATTGATTTTAAACTTGATCCTGAGAGTAGGAGGAGTTGTGTGACATGTGTAACCCTGATGTGGCCATCAGCCAGGAATACATTTGTACGCAGTACATTGGATTTCCATTTCTAGTTACCACTTAGCCCATTATGCATGACCACCTAATCAGTGTGCTTGTACTTTTTGGGGTGTTGACACAACTTAGTTCCAGATTTATTTGGTAAGCATACTCAGTGCCCTTACATTTACCCATGGACTTATATCTATTAGTAAGTATTTTTTCAAATTTTCTATTCCATGGAAATTTGCTCTTATAGTCTTATTGCCTGATTAGTAGAGGTGAGTTGTAATAAACCACAAATACTGTATCTATTCTGTCTGTACTTTTAATTGGTCTACATTGCTATCAGTGCCCAATATGCTTAAAGGAAGCTTTAGTTGATATTTCACCACAGTTTATCATGAAGTTGCTTGCTTCACCACAGCCATGGGGATGCTGAGTCACCCAGTTGGTAGCTAAAACTGTAGGTCAGACTGTTGTCAAATAATACTGCAACAGGCCCATGACGATGCTTTGCTGCTATCTGTTGAGTAGCTCAGTGTGAGGCAATGTAGTAATTCACTCATGGAGATCTTCTTGGGAAAATGATGCATTTTAGTCAAGAGCAGAGTTAGAAGAGCTGCAGCTTTCCTTTCGGTATAATGATGTTTAACCCTTAACATCAAGTTTCCCACTTTTATTTTCATCTTAAGCTTTAAGGTTATTAAAATGATCTATTTCCTCACTGTCTGAATATATATATTCTGTCAGCTTGTTCTAGGTTGGAGGCATATGAACTATTCAAACCTGACTGACTTAAAGAGGGTCTTTTGAACCATATCATAAGAAAACCTGAGACATTGTTGGCCATAAACATGAAGGAATCATTTTCATAAGTTAGTGACATAGTGGTGTCTCTACCCAACCAGTTTTGACTGCCTCAGATCTCATTGTTCGACAGTATGGACAGTCTTTGTCTGTAATCCATCACATTGTATAGGAAAGACAACAGGGACCTCTGCAACACTGCTCTGTGTCTGTACTTCTGTGTTTTTCTACTCATTAACCTTTCTGACGGTGCTAATTGAATCTATTATATTGCCAAAGACATTATTATCATTATTATTGTAGTATTCAGACCTAGCAAGACATTTCCTGGTGGAACTGATGAGAGAGCTGTACTAAAGCAAAGGTATTCTATAATAGAAGATAACGCATTACAAGCTGCGCCAGTGCTATTAATCTTCCTGTCTCCTAAGAGGGCGTGGTTGCCTCTCCCGCCTCTCCCCCACCTTGTTGTGAATGTGTGGATGGATTGAAGCATGATGAGAAACTGTTAAATAACCTATAACTGATAACTCTCTGAGCTGTCTTTGCCAACAAAGAGATGTGTTGCCAGATCTCAAAAGAGTATTTTTCAACAGAGACAGGTTTCAAGCAAAGTAGGGGGAATGATCATTTTATATCTTTATTCTCATTTTCATTAAAAAACATATTAAAATTAATTACGGTGTGATTGTTGTGATTTTGCATGTTTTCTTAAGTCTCTAGAATATGATGCGTAGGCTAGGACATATGTTTAATTTTAATTATGACGATGTTTAATTTAAAATGGTGTTTTGACACACACATCACCTTTAAAAAATATTGCGCCTCCTGTGATTTGAAAAAATTGCGATTTTGATAATTTCAATGAAGTGTTCATCCTCTACTCTTAAGTGAACAGTCTCATTCTAAACCGCCTGCGACTGAAGGCCTAGAGAGGCGATATCAGTGTAAGATCGCCAGAGCAACGTGCATGTAATGGTGGTTTTGAGGTAATAATCCATATGCTGAAGGGAGCAAAGTCTTAAGAGTGCTGACCTGTGCAATTTACCTTTCTCTGTAGCTGTTCCATGCATATAGACTGTAAACACTGTGAATTATTATCTGTAACAATCCACATTAGTGTCTTTCGTGGTATTTCAACAGTGGCACTAGCAAGTCCTGTAATTTACATGAACATTTGCAGTCTCAAATTGTTTTAGTTTTTTCCAAAAACTGAATCAGGCCATTGCCTGTAAGTTGAAAGGAAATAACATTTAGGTCACAAGAAAAAAGAACCTTGCATGCAAACTTTCAAGTATGCAGCTTTCAAAAACCTACATCAGTCAGATAGTGTCTATAGATGTTACTCCCTCTGTGGAGTCACTGTTTGCATTTTTCTCTGCTCTCTTTTCAGATTATGCAAGTGGCTCGATGTCCAACAGACGAACTGTCACTGAGCAACTGTGCCGTCATCAATGAGAAGGAGCCACAGCTTGAACTGTGAGTGGGATTTCCTCTGATACACGTAACTCTGCATCATACTACAGTAATAGTAGGATGTCTCTGTGTATATGTTGTGTGTTGAACGGGTGGATGCGTGCGTAGGCTTAGATATCAACAGACCCCTTCAGCTTTTTTACACCCTTAAGTGGCTAACCTGTAGCTTCTCCAGTAAAAGAAGAAGAACAATAGAATCTGGGTGGACGCTTTTTCTTGTTCTCCACACTTAATCCTTTCTTCTGTCTCGTAATTGTTCATCCCAATGCAGACATGCGACGGTGCGCAATTTAGCCCACAAGTATGTGTTCACCTTGAAGACTCATCCCAGTGTCAACGCTGGGACCATTGCCTTCAGCCTGCCACAGGTAGGTTAAAGAACAAAATGTTCCACCACCACATGTTCTCAATGATTACTGTGTGGCAGCTGTGCATTGCTGTTATTATATTTTCTGCAGATGTCATCAAGAGTGATTGTTTTTGGGAGACAAAATGATTGAAAATTTTGTTTTTTTGGCAAATGTAGCTAACCATTATCCTTCTATTCTTGATCTTCCTTTTAACATGATATATCACTATGCCTATATTTCTGTCTAAGTAATACATTTATTTAATAAGTGATATTTGCAGCTTTCCTTTACATAGCACCGGTGAACACTTGCATGGAGTTGAAGGCAGCACACTGTATACAATCATCAATTTTTTCTACAAACATTATATTATTTTTTTTTAATACCTTGATTGCAGTATCTGACCTGATATTCCCTAATTCAAGATTTTCTCTAAGAAAAGTTACGCTCTCTCTAGCAAGGTTGACTATGGGCTTTTTTTGCATGGACCTCTTTGTTTGTCTCAATTTGTCTGTTACTGCTTTTTCCTTTTTTTATCTTGCCTGTCTCTGCCTGCTCTTCCTCCGTCTATAAACTTGGCAGCCACAACGGCACACAGGTACTACTGTAACCTCCTCAGGGCGGCCTTATTTTACCACAAGACATTAATTTAATGTTATTTATTGATTGATCAATTTAACAAGGCAGCCATTATTGGCCGCTATCTCAAAAACATAGCTGACCATTAAAAATGTTTTAATATAAATAAAGATGTAGTAGAGCTAGATCTAGTAAAATGCATAATGTTATTATGCATTTTAAAGTGTTGTGAAATAAGACCATGTTGCAGAGGAACGTTGCATGGATGTCTCTGTGAAACATGTGCTGTTGTTGAATAGCTGGTAACCAATTGCCTTTTCCCATTGCAATATGTGTCCAAATACAAAAGGAAATGATGAGATGTGGAACTGAATCAGTCACTTGCTTTTTTTCCTGTACAGAGAAAATGGGCCGGCCTATCGATTGGACAAGAGGTTGAAGGTAAGCTTCACGTTTGTACTCTGGTGATATTCTAGATTTTTCTTTTTCTAAACAAATCCCACAAAAAGACCAAAACCAACGATGAATTGAGCCTACTGATAAGTAACAGTACCAGAAACGGTTAAAAACGCACAGTGTGTGCACTGGGTGACATGTTCAAGGTAAAAGGTAGTTTGATAGTCATTATACAGCACAAGGCTGCATAACGAAACAAATTTTGTAGTTCCTTCATGCTACACACACAACATATTAAGTGTAGGCCTATATTAAAATATGTGAACATAGAAATTAAAAACAGTACATGCAGTTATTTACATAGGCTACACGCCCCAAACATTCCACAGTGCATTGTTGCGCTGCTGTAAATGCCCACTAGAGCCCTGGTCTTCAAAGTGGGGTCCTTGAGGGTGTTCCAGGGAGTCCCCAACCAAAAGGAGATTAATTAATTTAATAGTTATTATTCCATCCGTAAGTAATACAACATCCATGTAGGTTTTATACCGTTTCTGTAATAAAACATCTAAAAACAAAAAATAACTAATTTGTGTCAGCAAAAGTAGAACCACTGCACTAGAGCACCAAATGAGTATTAATCAATAGCTGAAAATAGTCCCACAAATGGGCATTGAGTGAGGCGTGAGTGTTTTTCTAAAATTAAACAGAATATTTGTGACCCATTTTTAACAAGTTACATCCTCAGTTGGCACAAATGGGTTCATATAACAGGACAAAAAAAGAGACAAGTAGGATTTGGCTCCCAAAATGTCATGAAGTTCTAAATGGCAGATAAATAGATCAGAGTAACTTTACACACTGGGTGGTAACATATTGAGAACAAGGTGCTTTAACATGCAGCTGTCTCTAAACTTAATTGTGATTAACTAACTAAATTTTTATTTTGAGTTTTAAAATTGAAGCAAGCCATTTGCAGGTAAAATTGAAAGTAATTTTAGTAGTTCGCAGTTCTTATCTACAGGCTGCACAGACTTCTGATTGTTGTAGGACATCCTTTCAACCTTTTGTGATGACTGCCATTTGTTACATATTGATTAGCAGTGCTTGACAGTCTTTCCCTCTAATCTTTGAAGGCCTTTTGAGTCACAGACACCTTGCCGCAGTAGAAACATAATAGCCTTTGACATCAAATCTAACCTTGAGACTTTGAAGGATTCATGCAACTTAAATGTGACTGACTTTAAAGGCTGCAGTCGTTTTCTCTGCCAGAAAAACATCTCACTGTGCTGACTTCGGATGGTCATATCCTGCAGATTACCAATTAGATGTGGGGTTAGGGGGTTTAGCTTTTATTTTGGTGCCATGAAGGGTTGATGGAACATGACTTAGCCAGCACAGGGAGAGACAGAATAACAATATGGGTGGGTGATGTCACTCCACATCTGTCTCAGAGGCTGGCCAGCATCCAGAGAATGAGAAAGGCCTGTTCTTTGATAAAATATTTCACCCAGCTCCCTTAGGCCAAGTGATGCCCAAAATGATGGGCGCTATTGTGATATTGTCTGCATATCAGGAGTGAAAAGGAGGAATGAAAATATTATCCACAGAGTGAAAGAATGAATAAGCTTCATGATACCTTAATCTCTTTTGACATTGTCTTGAGGGGAAAAAAAACAGCAAAGGCATGGTTCTTTTTATTATTTGATCAAAGGAATAATATCTCTTTCTTTTTGAACATTATTTTCATTTTCTATAATAATTTTTTAGCAATGTTTCCAGGTAAATAAATAAAATAGTTTAATAAATAATGTGGCAGTATTGTGGGTGTAGTTTTTCTAATAACAGGAGAAATGTCAACTCAATCTAGAAGAAAGCTACTTACAGTATATCTCATTTCAGTAATGAGGCATTAGCAGCAGTTTGACGATATGCAGACGATTTGAATAGGGTACAAAAAATCAAATCCAGGAGCTACCTGTTATGTTGCTGTCTTTGTTTCTTATACACTGCTCAAAAAAATAAAGGGAACACTTAAATAACACAATGTAACTCCAAGTCAATCACACTCCTGTGAAATCAAACGGTCCACTTAGGAAGCAACACTGATTGACAATCAATTTCACATGCTGTTGTGCAAATGGAAAAGACAACAGGTGGAAATTATAGGCATTTAGCAAGACACCCCCAATAAAGGAGTGGTTCTGCAGGTGGTGACCACAGACCACTTCTCAGTTCCTGTGCTTCCTGGCTGATGATTTGGTCACTTTTGAATGCTGGCGGTGCTTTCACTCTAGTGGTAGCATGAGACGGAGTCTACAACCCACACAAGTGGCTCAGGTAGTGCAGCTCATCCAGGATGGCACATCAATGCGAGCTGTGGCAAGAAGGTTTGCTGTGTCTGTCAGCGTAGTGTCCAGAGCATGGAGGCGCTACCAGGAGACAGGCCAGTACATCAGGAGACGTGGAGGAGGCCGTAGGAGGGCAACAACCCAGCAGCAGGACCGCTACCTCCGCCTTTGTGCCAGGAGGAGCAGGAGGAGCACTGCCAGAGCCCTGCAAAATGACCTCCAGCAGGCCACAAATGTGCATGTGTCTGCTCAGACGGTCAGAAACAGACTCCATGAGGGTGGTATGAGGGCCCGACGTCCACAGGTGGGGGTTGTGCTTACAGCCCAACACCGTGCAGGACGTTTGGCATTTGCCAGAGAACAACAAGGTTGGCAAATTCGCTAATGGCGCCCTGTGCTCTTCACAGATGACAGCAGGTTCACACTGAGCACATGTGGCAGACGTGACAGAGTCTGGAGACGCCGTGGAGAACGTTCTGCTGCCTGCAACATCCTCCAGCATGACCGGTTTGGCGGTGGGTCAGTAATGGTGTGGGGTGGCATGTCTTTGGGGTGCCGCACAGCCCTCCATGTGCTTGCCAGAGGTAGCCTGACTGCCATTAGGTACCGAGATGAGATCCTCAGACCCCTTGTGAGACCACATGGTGGTGCGGTTGGCCCTGGGTTCCTCCTAATGCAAGACAATGCTAGACCTCATGTGGCTGGAGTGTGTCAGCAGTTCCTGCAAGAGGAAGGCATTGATGCTATGGACCGGCCCGCCCGTTCCCCAGACCTGAATCCAATTGAGCACATCTGGGACATCATGTCTCGCTCCATCCACCAACGCCACGTTGCACCACAGACTGTCCAGGAGTTGGCGGATGCTTTAGTCCAGGTCTGGGAGGAGATCCCTCAGGAGACCATCCGCCACCTCATCAGGAGCATGCCAAGGAGTTGTAGGGAGGTCATACAGGCACGTGGAGGCCACACACACTACTGAGCCTCATTTTGACTTGTTTTATGGACATTACATCAAAGTTGGATCGGCCTGTAGTGTGGTTTTCCACTTTGATTTTGAGTGTGACTCCAAATCCAGACCTCCATGGGTTGATAAATTTGATTTCCATTGATAATTTTTGTGATTTTGTTGTCAGCACATTCAGCTATATAAAGAAAGGAGTATTTAATGAGATTATTTCATTCATTCAGATCTAGGATGTTATTTTAGTGTTCCCTTTATTTTTTTGAGCAGTGTATTAAAAGATATAAATGCATCGCTGTTTCATTAACAGCTGGCTAACAAGGCATTTACTGATCATTCAAAATATACTAACGATCTTTGACACTGCAGTTCAGTTAGTATCTTATTGAACATAATCAGATCTATATAATACATAAATATCAGAGATACTAGTAGATATGCCATAGAGCATATAGAGGTGTGTAATATTCAGTAGTGATATAGTGAATCGAAGCTTTCTGAAGCAGTGACTCATTATAAAGCAAAAATAGTTCAGTTTCAAAGCATTTGAGACAAAAATGGCGACATCTGCTGGCCAAACCCTTGGTTTTGCATTTGTGTGAATGGATGCAGTAAATATGAGGCCATGATGAAACAGAATACAAATAGTTTCACTGCCATAATTGTCATTTTGTTCAATAAAGCTTGTATTGGAACACGGATCACTTTTAAACAGAGTCTACAGCTCTGTTTTTGAATGCTGAGGCAGATTGAGAGCATGTCGTATTCAAAACCAAAGCGACATTTCTGTGTGAAGTAACGAGGCTTTGTTTAGGTGATTTTATTTTATTTATTTTTTGGTGCGCGGAGAAGCAAGGCATTGAAACATCTACAGTACATTGAAACTCTACATTTTTACAGTAACAATGGATCAAATGACTACGTATAATATAGTGTCTGGGTAAACGGGCACCTCTTAGCCATTACAACTTTAAAAGCTGATGTCAGATTTTGTCCTTCTAGCCTATTCCTCTTTCCTCCAAGTGGCCACAAAAATCAGTTAATACAGCTTTACTTTCAATTAGACAAATTCTCAAGGAGACCTGCAGGAATCAGTGTGATATGGCCAAATTATATGTAGTTAGGCTCTGAGGAGAACTAACTAACCTATCAGAAACAGTCCAGGTCAATGAGAGATGCTGTTGTCTAAAATATAAACCCTTACTACCTACCTTTCGCCCCTCTTACAGTAACAAATTACACGTTTGACAAGTCCAGACAGTGTATAAGCAACATGACAGTGGAAATCGACTTCCTGCAGAAGAAGAGTGTGGACAGCAACCCTTACGACTCGGACAACATGGCCAATGAGTTTATCCAGCGCTTCAACAACCAGGCCTTCAGCATCGGCCAGCAGGTGCTTGGGGATTTAAGGGGTTAATAACGGGCCAGTCTAAGCGTTCACTCGCACTGGACAAGCTCTGAGTTTATTGTAGAATTTAGTGGAATTCAGGTTTGTAACTGCGAGAGAGACTTATTTATATTTAAATCATAGGGTCCTAGAGGAATTAACGAAAGAGTGCAATGTATGTTCACAGTAAAAGCAAAAACAGGCATTACAAGACCAGCTAAATTAAGCATTTCAATTGTTGCATAAATTGTATCTTCATTTATTTGTTTATTTAGTTTAATGTTCTCCTATGGAAGGACAACTTTTTTCCAGTTGTTTGGAGTAAATCTCACCTGGCTCCCTCTATGTTTTGTTTCTCTCTAGCTGGTGTTTAGTTTCTGTGATAAGCTGTTCGGCTTGCTGATAAAGGATATTGAGGCCATGGACCCCAGCATCCTAAAGGGAGAACGAGCCTCTGGCAAGAAACCAAAGGTATCAATCACCGCCCCATGATGGCTTCTGTACCAATATAAGCTTTTATATAGAGCACGGTAGCTATTCATTTTATTAACACAATTTATTTAAATCCCATGTAGCTGAAGTGCTAAATGTTTCAGCTTGATGTAACTGGAATTCCCACCTTTCTTCCATATTTAAAAGAGTAAACATGACTGATTGTACTGTGTCCTGAACGATGATCATGTTTTTTGTTTCTTCTCACAGACTGAGATCGGTTTGTTGCTGGCAAACAGTCAGGTGATTTTTGAGAAGTCAGAGAGCTCATCCATGAACCTGGTTGGTGAGTGTCAACAATGCACGGCTTTTATAATAGATAGCTATTTTTCACCTGTTGACAAACAAGAGCACTTCATCTCAAGTAACTACAGGATAGTTTATCACTTGAAATTATGTAGTTAAATACTAAAGCTGACATGGTAATGACTGATAGTGAACTTCTAAAACCACTGCAAACCTTACACTTATTTTAAAAAATGTGTTGTAGCTGGCTACTGGCTGTAGGGTGGTTCTTCATAAAACCACAAGGAGGCACACTTCTCACATTTTGCTCAGCTTGCTTTCCCTTTCACATTTCTTTGGCAGTGGCACAATATTGAAGTCCAGCTGTGCCAAGGGCCACCTGACAGTAGTTTCCTTTCATATCAAGGTTTAACTGTGATATATTCTGGGTATATGAATATTGCTTATCCAGCATATCAGTCAGAAACTGCTAAATTTACCTCAAGACAAAGCAATTGTTCAGACGGAGCTTGTTCAATGCACAATATTAATTTCACTGCAAACTACCAGTTTGGGACTCACTGCTGTACGCATACAGTAAGAGTTGACAGAAGTGCTTTTTCAATAACTAATCAAAAACATTAGGCCCTCCTTTTGATTTTAGTGTCTGTTTTTGTCTGACCCTCCAGGGAAAGCCAAGACCCGAGGGTCTCGCCAGTCCATCATCAGCCCAGACTGGAACTTTGAGAGGATGGGTATTGGCGGTCTGGACAAGGAGTTTTCTGACATCTTCCGTAGAGCCTTTGCATCCCGAGTTTTCCCTCCAGACATTGTAGAACAGATGGGTGAGTTTCTCTCTTCCTCTTCATTTGTTTGTGCCTGTTGCTTTTTATGCTTTTTCACTGCAAGTCAGATGATCATTTCATAAGATTGTACATGTGTTGAGGACATTTTCATTTTCACATTTTCATCTCTGGCTTTTTTTTTTTAAATAGTCTTGTGTATTTCGCAAGTCTTTTGTGAAAGGGAAAAGAAAAATTGCACTCCCAAATCTGTTAAATTGCTCAGTCCCTACATTTAGAATAGGGGAGTACAATGCACTGATGTTTTCACTATGCCTTCTTCAGCAACCAATAGTTATTCACCTTTCAGGCTGAGTCATTTTAACCTTATCACCAGCACTGCATGTCAATCCACTCATCTACAGGTGCACCAAGTGGCTCCTTCTGCTAGAAGATAGGTGTCTTCAGAATTATCTCATTTAAAATTCCTTCCTCTACATGGTGAAACACCTCAACATGCTAAATGTTGGAAGCTCAAAAGAGCACAGAAAACAATCTTGTGAGAAACACTGTTGTCTCTCTCAGAACTGGTAAAGTATCTTTCAGCATTCAGGTCAAACTGCATAGGAATACCTGCCAAACGTAATAACTGCTTTCAGGTATTAAATTCAGCTTGTGTTTAATTCTTAAATCAACATTATGGAAAATAAAGCTTTGAATAATTCCTTGTGTCATTGCTGAATCGGCAAAACCACAACAATGATTAGCACTCAGGGCAGCGTCCTCCTGAGGTGCCTCGACCATGACTAAAAGCCCTGGCATACCCTGACGGTGATCTCTGCACACACTCATTAATGGCTCTTTGACAGCTGTCAGATTACTATGATGATTCACTTTGCAAAGGACAACAGCTCATTGTAATGAAAGCCATCAGGTAGTCTTCTTAGTGACTCATACACAAAACCCTCCCTTTCTGCACACATGTGCATACAATCACATCAGTCCTAATCCTTGCTCCCAGACCTAGAAGTCTTGTGAAAACCTGTTGTAAAGACCTCTGAGCTGGCCAAATACACACAGTACTTAAATCTGGTACGCGTAGACACTCCATTCGCACAGCGCTCAGTGCCTGTGGCAGTGTCCAGCAGTGTGTGAGCTGACCTTTTAGCCTGGTGGTTGTGTGCAGGAGTCGGCCTTTGGCTGTCGCCAGCTGGCTGCTGTAATGAGATGGCATCCCCTGATAGAGCATCCAGCTAAAGGTGAAGCTGTAATTGGCAGGCGTGGGGAGCAGGGAGAGCGGGTGCTGACAGAGAGGTGGCGTGCACGTCTAGTTGCACATTTTATGTGTGCGTTGGAGCAAAAGTTTGACAGTTTCACCTTGTCTCCCCTTTGCTCCCAGAGAGGTGAGGCAGACAGACAGAAGCTTCAGCGCTTTCTCCCCTAAACACAACACACAACCACACAAGTTTTCCCCGCCTTGCTAGAGAAGCCGTTCCTCCTCCCCTCCTCCCCCACCTGTCACCCTGGCTGCTTTTCCTTCAGCAGGCCCAAATGGCAGCTCTGATGGTTATCTGGGGCCTCTCAATTAGTCTGGGCTAAATGTCATTAAGCAGGTGCAAAAGGCCATTAAAAGACCCACACTGTAAACTTGAGTAGAGAGCTTGCAGTATCCACACTTGATCTTTATGGAGAGGGAATGAAACAAAGGAAATCCGTGGTGCTGTGGTGCTTAGAACAGTTATGAGCCTGTCTATTCTGTGTGTCAAGTGACAGAAGGAATAAAAAAAAATGACATTTTGAACAAACTGCAAAGTGAACATTTCTATTATGAAGGGATACTATAATAAATCAACAGAATTCAAAGCCAGTTCAAATGCAAGAAAGTCATTTAACTATCTTTAAATGTAGTAAATAACCTTGTGTGATATTGATTTTCTTTACATTTCAGAAATGCAGTGTGTCAAAGCACTGTGACTATGCTTAATGGGTCACCACTTACGTTGTCATAACAACTGCCAATAGTAAATCAATGGTCTAAGGAAAAGTGGAGGGCAAATTGTGTCCTAAATGTTGGCTGGGGGCAAGTCCTACGCTTCTCAAAAGTCCTCTGTTTGGGCTTTACCTAACAAAGAAGAGATCTAGTAGAAACATTTGCAGTGTGTTGGTTCCTTGTTGATAAGATGAACAGCCTGTGCCTGTGCTCAGTCTAACTTCAATTCCTTTCTCCCTGGTTGTGTGTCTCTGTCTCCAGGCTGCAAGCATGTGAAGGGAATCCTGTTGTATGGACCCCCAGGCTGCGGTAAAACCCTGATGGCACGACAGATTGGCAAGATGCTTAATGCCCGGGAGCCAAAGATCGTCAATGGCCCAGAGATTCTCAACAAGTACGTCGGAGAGTCTGAGGCCAACATCAGGAAGCTGTTTGCAGATGCAGAGGAAGAACAGAAGAGGGTGAGGGGAGATCACATTATGTTGAAAGTCACACTCTTTTACTTTGACCATAGTACGTTTAAAAACAACTTTATTGTTGCTAGAGCTTTCAAGAGATATATGAGTCAGTTTTATTACCTCCACATACATTACCTGTAGTGCTGCGACTTTGCTGAACTTATTATCTACACATGTGGTAAAAAAGTCACAGTAGGTCTTCTAGGGTATTCTCCCATTATTCACAAGAAACACAGATAAGAATTTCATCTATCTAAACATGTAAAAAAACTAATTTCTCAAGGAGTGGAGAGATATGCCCTTTAGCCAGACATGGCTGTAATAACTCCGGTAAAGTTTTTGGTTGGTTTGGATGGTGAGACAGTAGTGTCGAGCCTCACTCTTCACCACCTAATGAGGGGCTGGGCTCCCTTTGACCTCCTATTAGACCTCCCTAAAAACACACACACACACATACACATACACACTCACGCACCAGCCAGTGTGCAATAAGGACAGCTCCACACCTGCTTTAAATGCTAGGGCTGAGACTGACAGGTCTGTAGATGGAGGGATAACCCCCCACCCTGCTGCTCTCTTGTTTTTTCCATCTGTCTCTCAGTTGAGGGCCAGAACTGATTGTAGGATCTTTGTCTTTGTCATCTTGCTGCATTTATGTCTCTTGTAAAACATTGTTGGTTTTATTTTCTAATATTGCCGTAAAGTTTTATTTTAAAGTAATACTAACTTTCAAAATTAATATATTTATTTTAACTTAATAACTTCACAAGGCCACGAGAAATGTCGATGTTAAGTACCAGATAGTCCAGTTTAATAAATACATTGGCATGCAAAAGGCCAGTGTGCTTTCCTTGGGAGTAAATACTCCTCAAGAGACAAAATAATTTTTTAAGTTTGGGAAACACTGGAAATCCTATATATATTAACATTTATATATATAAAGTAAATAACTTCTACACCACCATCACATGCAAAATCACTGTACATCTAAAGAAATAGGTTATGGTAGACATTGGTTTAGGGCTGCACGATATTGTAAAAAATGACAAACAATATTTTTCTTTTCTGCGATATTTATATATTGCGATTTTTTTTCACCAGATGACTTCAGTTACTCTTTGAAATTGTAATTTGGTTAGGGAAAATGCAAGTTGCAATGCTTTTTTTTTGTGCAAACTATCTTTTCTTGAGTTTTAATGCACTAAACATATTATAAACAAAATAATAAATAATAGTTAAAGAGCAGCTATACACCAGCCCCCTGAGTGGTTTACAAAAGTTGCTTTTCTTTTTGCAACCAAATCCACTGTTTCGGTGGTTTTCTCCCGTTCCTCACTTACAAGCAACAAACTCCTTGTATCTAAGTAGTGTTGTAGTCAAGACCGCCCAAACCGAGACCAAGTCAAGACCAAGAGCAGATCCCTGCATTGCATGGCACGCAATAAAATGTGGAACAAGATCATAGGTACTTCTTAAAGTGATCTGAAAGATCCACTTTCCCATTAAAACACCCACATACAAACACTAAGAGCTGAAATCAACGTAGGCATCGCAGGGAGGGGTGACAGTCGTTAACTGTAACAACACGTTTAATTAGGATTATTGGTTGCGTTTGAAGAAATATGTTTTACTTCCAATCAAAGTTAGGATGTTAACAAATCAGACAATGCAAAAGCAATTTATTGATATTCCCAAAGTTATGGTCATGACTGGTCTTGAAATAAAATCCCGAGTCCTCAGTGTCCGAGACCGAGACAAGACCGAGTACAAAGGTGGTCGAGTCCGAGACGAGACCAAGACCATCAAAAAGTGGTCTTAAGACCGGTCTCGAGTACTACAACACTATATCTAAAGAACCCTTAAATCGGAGTAAATGATATTACATCAGACAGACTTCTGTTGTAGATTAGTCATGGAAAATGACACCATACAAGTTTTCCTTTTTATATCAAGCAGCAAAAAGTTTAGGTGTTTGAGTTAATTTCACTTGCTTGACATTGCATTGTTCTGCCATGTGACTATTGCGCAAGGGCACATTGCGATGACGATGCAGAAACGATATATGGTGCTGCCCTAAATGGTATCGGGCAAGACAAGAGGACCGCATTACCAGTAGTATAAGACAGTAGTAGACAACACATATATTTACAGTTAGCACATTCTCTCTGTCATTTATTTTCCTCCTCATCTCTCTGCTGAACAGCACGGTGCTAACAGCAGCCTGCACATCATCATATTTGATGAGATCGACGCAATCTGTAAACAGCGTGGCAGCATGGCAGGCAGCACAGGAGTCCACGACACCGTAGTCAACCAGCTTCTGTCCAAGATAGATGGAGTGGAGCAGCTCAACAACATCCTGGTCATAGGTACAAATAAACCCACGCATTCTCCTAATACAAAGTAACACACCTTAAAAACTCACAGGCTCTGAGATGTCATCGCTGAACATGTGCACGCTCACTGATCTCTCTCTCATTCATCTTTTCCCTCTGCTGTCTCTTCTTTCCACTATCTGTCCATCTGTCCCGCCCTCAGGTATGACCAACAGGCCTGACTTGATAGATGAGGCCTTGTTGAGGCCAGGAAGACTGGAGGTGAAGATGGAGATCGGTAAGAAGTGAAGAACACGCTGATATGGTTTCACTCAAGTGTTGATGCCATACAGTTTATCTCTTTAGTAGACTGGATGGAATTAAAACTCTATTAATGACAACATAGATCTCTTGATAGACCAGTAGGGCTGGGGCCAAAACTGTTATCACGATAAAAACATTTCAGGTCGATATCACAATGAATGTCAAATCGTTATTTCTTTCAAGTTTAAAGGCTGATTTTTTTCCTCCTGAGTGACAATTGAAGAAACTAGATGGCCATTATGTGGTTAAACTTTTCTTTATGGTCAGAATGGGACAAACACTTGATGCCAAACAGTGGAACACTTAACAAATCTGAGGGAGAACATTCAGAACTATTATGATAAAACCTTTTTTTACAAATATTAGTAAATCTTTTTTCAGTCCCTTTTCCTTGACAAAATAAATATTTTAACAGAAAAAATAACTGCTAATTTGTTCATGATTCAAATAAATTAAACCAAATATTTATTGAAAGTATATTGAATGTTTATTATATTGATATTGAAGAAAATTATATCGCGATAATATCATTGTTTTATTGCCCAGCCCTAATTGCCAGTATAATCCATTAATTTTTGTGGTAAACAGAATGATTTGTCATACACATGTTTCCGGATTAACTACATTCAAATCATAAAAAGTATAGTTAAATCTCACAGCTGTCAATCTGTTAAAATGTCTTTGAGGAGCAGCAGCCTGTAGTTTAGTAGCAATCTTGCTGCTCAGTGCTGTGCACAGTACAGAGGCAGTGCACCTTACGTGGTTAGCATACCTTTCCTGAATGACAATGACATTAAGTTAAACACATAACTCTTTTTGCCAAAGTTTAAAGCCCCTTATTTCCTCTCTCTTCTTCCAGGGTTACCAGATGAAAGGGGACGAATTCAGATTCTTCACATTCACACAGCAAAGATGCGTCAGCACGAACTGCTGGCCGGTGACGTAGACATTGAGGAGCTGGCCGTGGAGACTAAGAACTACAGCGGTGCAGAGCTGGAGGGCCTGGTCAGGGCTGCACAGTCGACTGCCATGAACAGACATATCAAGGTCAGATACTTCAAGGGACATTTGGCATTTTACTGCTCACATTTATACTCTGTATTCGTATTTTATTTTATTGTATGTGTCCACTTCCATACAATCTTTATGATTGGAGAAAAGGAGTTCTATTTGTAAAGGTTTTACTATCATTTACTCTTAGTCTCTCTGTATTTGTTTCAATCATTTAGTCCATAGAGTTTCAGAAAAGAGGAAAGAAAAAGCCCTCACACTCTCTCAGAGCCAAAAATTCTCTGTTCTCTGACTGTGCAGCCACTATAGTCCAGATGACCGAAGATATGAGCTAACAAAAATGTTAATCCACTTTCTAAGTAGCCTTCAGTTATTACTGCAATAAGCTTAATTAATAGCAGTGAGTGGCTTGCATATTTTCTTCCATCTGGGTCTTCCCTCTCAGTTCTATATACATACTATGTTATTGCTGGAGGTTACTGGGGCAGTATGCTTCCAGAAAGGAATACCTGCAGACACATTGATTTTATGATCAAAATAAAATTAATAATTTAAAATTAATAATTGAAAACTTTATTATAGAATGTGTTTTGTAGAAGTACCCAGTGGAATAAGCCACACATGGCTGGCATGGTACACTGCTGTATAGTGCCACTCTGGTGAGGAAGGATTGGGCTTCAGATAAGTGTTTTATCAGGTGCATAGGCTGAAATCTACACAGCTTAGTTGGACAGACGGATAAGGTGAAGTTCTCATCTATTAAATGTTCTGCCCCCCCACCCACACAGGCACACACAGACACACATGGAGCAGCAGATATTGGAGGGTGATGATAAATGACAGACAAGGGCCTTACACATGTCTGATGGCTGTGACGTTTTTCTTCACTCGTCTAAACACTCGGTCTGACCTTTCTGCTCTGAGGGAGCACATTGTCTGCTGACACATTGTGCAATCTAACTGTGCAATACTTCATGTAATGGCTTTCATTAGCTAGGGAACAAAGGTAACTGTTATTATTAGCTAGCTCAATTTGTGTTACATTATGTTTGTTGTAGGCCACTAACACAGTGGAGGTAAACATTGAGACGGCAGAGAAGCTGCTGGTCAGCAGACTTGACTTCATGAGCTCACTGAATAACGACATCAAACCTGTAAGTAGCTTCACATCACGCTCTGTATATCTTTTCTGCATCTCCTTCCATTCCTGTGTTAAATATGTTTTGTTGAAAAATAAAGAATATAGACTACATGACATAAATGTGACAGCCACAACTTTTATAAATCAAATAACCCAAAGTTCCAAATGAACAATTCACAATCCCATTCTTCTCACGCTGTCCTGAGCAAACGCTGTTGAAAATATAAACAGACTTTTAAAAATAACAGCCAAGAACTGTAATAATAGTAATTAGACTCAACAAAAAGAGTTGTTCTTGTGCTTTCTTAAGTGTGCTGGTAAAATCGGTGAAACCCTTTGTCCTTATTCCTTTTTCTTGTGTTTCTTTTACCTGCTATTGTCGTTCTTGTTGTTTTTCTGTGTATGTCTGCTATTTACAATTATACTGTACTTAATTTAATCCGCGATTTGGGGGAAGACTTTGTGCTCAAGCTTACTTGCACATATCTATTTAGTGTCATTAATGTATGTTGTTTACCGTGACAAATCTGAACTACACAAAACTTTTGAAATATAATCTCATACAATAAAGATGTTAAGTATTCCAGAGTCTGGTCTGTTCATCTGATCAGCCTCCAGCACAAAAAACTAATGTATGTTAACTTCTGTAAAACCTCTGTGATCTGGTTCTAGTTTCTGTGGCAAAGAATAGCCAGTTGGACAGTTGGAGGAAAGTAATTTTTTCCACTTTGTCCATGGCTGAAAATTCTCAGAGACCACTCAACTTAAATTGAATCTGTTCAGGGGGTTTCTGCATATAATCAGGATAATATAATTCACCTGAAGATGATTCACAGACAGCACTTGTGCAGGTGATGCAACATTACAATGGGCAGGGAAACATTTACAGTATATATTTTCTTTCTAATGTTCTCAACTTTAAAACGCCACCTCATCTTTTCTTATTCTGTCCAGGCGTTTGGTACCAATCAAGAGGACTACGCCAGCTACATCATGAACGGGATAATCCGATGGGGTGACCCAGTGTCAGCGGTCCTAGAGGATGGGGGGCTGCTGGTGCAGCAGACGAAGAACAGCGACCGCACACCGCTGGTCTCTGTGCTACTTGAGGGTGGGACTCACACACATCCACTCACACAAACTCACCTCATGCAACTCAAACATGCAGGCCAAACATCCTTAGCCAGCACACAGCAGTTGTACACGTAATAAACCTTTTTAAAAGGCCCTAAAATAAAAACTGTAATTTGAAACATCTGATTTGTGATTAATCCCCTTTCATCAGGTCCACCTAACAGTGGGAAAACTGCACTAGCTGCTAAGATCTCTGAAGAGTCCCAGTTCCCCTTTATCAAGATCTGCTCCCCCGACAAGATGATCGGACACTCGGAGATCGCCAAATGCCAAGCCATCAAAAAGGTAACACGCACCAGTTGGCAATGTTACAAATCTTTACACGCTTGAGTAGAAAGTCTTGAAATATAGAAAGTCATCTTAGTCATCTCTAGGTCTACAAATGTTTGGGATTTGTAAGTATGTGAAGGTGTGAAAAATGTATCTCCAGTGCTGATGCATGGCAGATGGGGTTCAAGCAATGCAATTGTTTCTCATCTTATGGATGCTGTTGAGAATAATTAATGGCTTTATTAAATTGGACTTAAGTACTCTAACTGCCTCATTAAATATGGAAGATTTTTTTTAATTGAAAACATTTAGAAGCATATTTTTTAAATTAACCACTGTTTACTAATACCATAACAAACAAATAATCCTTTTTAGTGCTTTCATGTCATGCATAAAGCTATGTGTCTGTTTTTAACCGTGTCTGTTTGCACTTTTATTCCCTGTAATAGATATTTGAAGACGCCTACAAGTCCCAGCTGAGCTGCGTGGTTGTAGATGAAATTGAACGTCTGTTAGGTAAGAATCCATTTGTCCCTTCAGAGAGTCACAAGGCAGCTAATAAAAACATTTTTTGTCCTGCTGCTGGTGAGTTGAATATTGTATACCTAAAGTCATGTTTATTTGGATGGACATTCAAATGTGAATAAATCTATATGGGAAATCAGAACATTGCTAACAGAAAATGATCTGTCTCATTAGACTACGTCCCAATTGGCCCTCGTTTCTCCAACCTGGTGTTACAAGCTTTACTGGTGCTGCTGAAGAAACCTCCTCCGAAGGTAACAAACACTTTGTTGTGGTATTTATTTGTAGCATGCTCACTGTGGGGTTGCTAGTCCTTTGGTGGCAGAAAGAGGGCAGCAGATCTTATTGATGCCAGCGCAAAGTCTGGTGAGGAATTGTTGGAGGTCTTTGGCTGCGACTGGCATATGTGAGCGACTGTGTGTGAGTGTATGGTTATTAGCGAGTGTTTAGGCCCAGGCCTGTTGTGCTCACAGTGAATGGTGGTGGTAGAGACCCATTTCTCATAGTTTCTTTGGTTGTAGTTTGTGTGTGTCTGTTGATGGGTTTGTGAATGAGAGCATAGCCCACTATATGGCTGCATGTGCATGAGAAGTGGCGCGGGGCCTGGTGTTGAATGCCTGGCTGCAGTGCTCCTCTGGGGTTGTAAAGCGCTGGGCCCAGCGGGGTGCCTGGGGCCGGGGGAGGCCAGGGGGACAGGGAGGAGAATGGGCTCTGTGAGAGAGCCAGGACCTGGCAGCACCGCCGCCTGTGTGGCACCTCATCTGCATGCAGCATCACAACCCCCCACGCCATGGGGGGGCAGCCGGCAGCCATAATCCCCCTGTCTACTCGCCACTCCTCTGCCTGTCCTCCTTCATCTTCTTCTCCTGTTCCTTCTCCAACTTGTCGGCTTAGTGGACCTGCATTTCTTTTGCTTCTCTTCTTTTGCTCGTGTTTGTCTTCTCTACTGTTGTCCCTCTGTTGTTTTCTGTCCTGTTCTTTCTTCTCATCTCTCCTGTTTTTTATTGTCTGTGCTCTGGTTGGGACTTTAGGCCCTAATACACTATCAACTTTCATCTGGGACAAAATCACACAATCATGAGAGATATCTGAAGAAATCTTTGGGTGTCAATTTTAAAACCCTGATCCTAGATCTCACTGTGACACACGTCCACCAACGGCTGACAAGAAGGTTTTGCGATCAGAGACCGTCTGCATTGCAGTTATGATAGTGTCATAAATGTAACCAAATTCTCACAACATGCTGTGAGCCACAGCTACAAACCACCTAACTGGAATATAACCTGAAATGATGCAGAGAACGCTGTATGACGGGACATTTTAAGCATTTTTGAGTAAAGGAGGAAAAACAGCACTGTGGCCAAAGGTTGTTTTTTATCATAGCGCTACAGTTCACCCATGCCTCAAAACTAACAGCACCGTCTGACACAGACTTGCAGAAAGATTTTACTGGACGCAGTGAACCTGCACTTTCACTGTTATTACAAAATGTGTAGGTGCAATCCATATGCCCAATATCGATTTATATCCATCAGACAGTCATGACTCTGCCTTATCTCTTCTCTCCTCCCTTGTTACTGTTTTCTTTTCTTTCCATAAACAAACGGGTAGTGAGTAAAAAAAGTTAAAATCACATAATCAACCTGACTGTCAGTCTCTTTGCCTTCCCAGTGACTGTTAAGAGGAAAGCAGCTAAAGAAAATGACCAACTTAGCGGTTGAATGAAACGAAAGTCTGAAGCCATGTCTGCTTCTCTTTCAGGGTCGTAAGCTACTGATCATCGGCACCACAAGTCGTAAAGACGTCCTCCAGGAAATGGAGATGTTGGATGCTTTCAGCACTACCATCCACATTCCCAACATATCCAGGGGAGAGCAGCTGGTCGAGGCCCTGGAGGTAACAGACACACACATCTATGCATGCATATACAGCACTTTTAAACCCTAACTATTTAATACACTTGATATACACTTACTCAGCCTCTCTGTCTCACAATTGTAACGCACACCTTTGTACAAAGAGTATTACCAAATGATCTATATCATGTTAGGAACACGTGAAATTATCAGTACTTAAAAGCAACTCTAAACACAGATTTATAATCACTTGTCAACGTTTTCAAGAATGATATTTTCTGAATGATGTTTTATTCACAATCTATAATGTGCATTACTTCTATACTGACACACTTGGACTACACAGCAGCATTTATTTTATGCTGATATGTACTATAGTGTGAAATTCTTTCTTGCATTTTAAATAATGATATAACCTATTTGAATCCCATGCCTGATTGCTCTCCTCTGACTTCTCCCCACAGCTGCTGGGCAGTTTTCAGGAGGTGGAGCGGGCAAGCATAGCTAAAGCTGTGAAAGGCCTAAATATGTGGATTGGCATAAAAAAGTTGCTCATGCTGATTGAAATGTCCGTGCAGGTGAGAAAGAGATACTATCTTTTTTTTGCATTTGCATTTTTGAACTACGGCTAGCAGAATGGCAATGCCGCTCTGTTTGTTGGACGGTCAATCACTTTGGTCCAGACTGTAATGTCCCAACAACTAGTGGGTGAATTGTCATGAACTTTTATACAGACGGTCACGGTTCACAAAGGACTGATCCCAATAGCAGATGTTAGCATGTTAAACTACATAGTGAACATGGCAAAAATTATATGCTGATGTTAGCATTTGGCTCAAAGCACCACTCTCCATAAGTACAGCCTCACAGAGCTGCTAGCATCTAACCTTATAAATATTCACATGACTATGTGATGCTCTTATGATAAATGTAATGCTGATGTAACTCCATGTGCACTGGTGGTATCACATACTAGGTAAAGTACACTAAGTTGTAAAGAGCATCACATATTTATATATATATTCTGAAACACAAATATCAAATTGCCTCTGTATTGTTTTTCTAATCGTGAAGACTGAGCTCGAGCAGCTTGTCCCTCCTCTCGACATCTGGCCGGCATTCTCACCAGTCAACAGAATCTGTCTCCATCTTAAAAAAAAAACAAAAAAAAAACTGTCATCTATTAACTGGAATGAAAAACTGTGTGGGTTTTCTGATGATTTGTTGAGAAGAAGGATCCAGTACATTTCTAGTTCACAAACCATTCTCGACATGGTGGAGAGCTGATGCAGTCATAGTTATGAAACCATGTTCTGCGGAGCTTTCCAAGTTACACTCACGTGTGCTGAATCAAAGGGATGCTACCTATGGTTTAGAGCAAGAGCAAAATCAATAATGATCTGTTATCCTAGGAGCAAAGACATATGGGAGGTTTAAAAAAAAAAAAAAGACATGCCATCCAACTGTAGAAACAAAAATGAAAACATACAAAGCAGATTCTTGGCTTCCTTGTGTATGTAAATAAGCACTGTAGGTATAAACTCACCTTATTAAAGCTGCCTTTAGGGGTTTTGTGGTTTGGCCGAGGAGTTATGTTTTTTTGCATTTTTCCCTGAGAGTCCCTGTCAAAATTGTTGTAGTTATTTCTGTTTGCACTGTACCCAAATGATTTACTTGTAAAGCCTTGTAAGGGCCTTTACCCTGTCAAAACACTAGGATCATCAATTCGACCTGTTCTGCAGAAAGTCTAGATCAGTCATACTGTATGTACTCCCATTACTCCCTGAGTCACGGCGTTCTTGGGAAGCCTAGTGATTTGTAGTAAATGCTTTAATTTTATAAATCTCTTTACATACTTTCAATCAAATAAATGTTTTGTTTCATTACTCACCTACACACCCCCACTCGACAGGCTTGGGGCTAGCATTCTGCTAGTTCTCACCTGTTAAATAACAGTGCAGTGCAAATAGAGAGAAATTCCTGGTGGGATTCAGTTCTGAGTCAGAATAGGAACACATGGCAGTTTTTCCCTATACATTGACCTGTCTGTGAATAGCCCCTCCTCTCCGTGCACAATCTGAATCAAAACGTGATCATGCACTGGAGGAAGGATTGCTGCCACCTTTAAGCAGCATCAGTGCAGAGTTGAGTGTTTAGTATCATGAACACCTCAGAATGAATTTCTCCAGAACTAATGCATTCAAATTAACTCATGTCATTCTGCATCTGAAAAAAACAACCCTGACAATGTCATAGTGATGTCATATGGGTTATCTCAACGTAGGCTTGGAGACGATTGACATGACAAGTTAAACTGTTGGCTCGAGTGATTTTTGAGCTTGACCCACAACGCGGACTAAAAGTCTGTGTGGATTCAGATTTTAATTGTTTTCTTTCAGATCCCCCAACTTAATGCAAGAGCTAGAGTACTCTAAAGCTTAATTTGTCTGATATGAATTAGGTTCCAGTTAGATCTTGACTCAGGCATCGACATTGAAACCTGAGCATAACGGCTACAGAAGGGTCTAACTGTACTGTTGGAACTGAACAATTTTGCAGCAGCTTCTTCTTCAGTACTCCTTAGGCAAGACATTTCTGCAGTCCACCGTGGCCAGTTCATCAAAAAAAAACTATCCGCTCCAGTGGCCTTCAAATGTTTGTTTACCAAAACAGGTAGCAGCCTTTTATCAAGCAGCAGCAGCAGACAGTGACCTAAATCTGACTGTTTGCTGGCGTTAATTTCTCCTCCTGACTGTGTATCTCTGGTATGTTGATGATGTGTACCGCCTGTTTGTTGAGGCTGGATGCTGTGTAATTGCTGTGGTATGCACAAATGCAACTATGTTCTGCACCCCCCACCCACCCAACCCCAATCTTAGCCTGAAGAAGTATGAACCTGTGTTTGCCGAGACATGCTGCAAACGGCCACACCGCTCCGCACACATACATTCGTTGTTAGTCCTCAGTTTTCTCTTTATCTTTTTCCGTCTCATTCCAATGTTTCTGACTGTTCTCATGTCTTCACTCTAGTAGCTACAGGCAATTCCAGACATACTGTAAGTTATTGCATAGGTTGCCATTAATTTTACTTCCTCTCCCCCTCCTCTTCTCTGCAATCCTGTTTGTTCAAACTGAAGCATGAACTCCAGGACCTGCCACTATTTCACATTGTTCTGATGTTTAACCTCTTGATTCTGAATTTTAAACAACAGATGCTAGATCAAAAAGATATTACCACCTGACATTGTATGCATATATGCACTAAGAATTAATGTCTGTGTTTTAGATGGATCCTGGCTACAGAGTTAGCAAGTTCCTCAGTCTACTGAAGGATGAAGGAGCGTAAGTATTCTTTTCCTGTTTCTAACGTGACTTCTTTGAGCAAAATGGAATCATCAGTGACACTAAACACTCACACTGCGCACACATCTGTCACTTGTACCATTCTTCACTCACAAATGTATCAGAGAGGAAAAACCTAGTTAGACGCACTAAATGTTTACATGGTCATTGTATCAAGTGTGATTAATAATACACATTTTGTCTTCCTGCAGACTGGGTTCTGATAAGTTTATGTCAATCTAGACTCAGTGGAGCCACATAGTGAAAAAGAGGCGTCCTTCAACGGTAAGACTGCAGGGCCTGCATCAGGCTACACGGTCACATCTTCTACTCATCGTTTCCTGTCCATGCTGAGGGGGGCTCATGAAGAAATCTGTAAACTGCAAATTCAGTTTAACAATGTATACACTCAAAGTACAAAGTGTTGTCAAGAGAATTAACACTCAGCCATCAATAATGTACCAAACAACTCACCTACATGGGTAATTGTGTTTAAAAGTCTGTAGACATGCATTTAAATCAAAATCTATATAGTTTTCAGTGCATCAATATATAATTTTTTAATGCAGATTCCAAAATTTGATTTGTTTTTTTCTCTTTAAATTTTAATCACCAAATTGCCTTAAAGACGTCATTTGACATTTTGGGAGTCACATTTATTTGCCTTCATGCCAAGTGTTAAATGAGAAGATGAATACTACACTCATGTCTGCACGGCAGATATGAAGTAAGAGCTAGCATGAGCAGCTCAGTGTACACTGAGCACTGAAGTGGAAAAATGACCAGGTGTGTATTAGTGTGGGACTACTTCCTGGATGGGTGCAGTGACTTTCTGAAGTCTCATATTACATAACCTTGTCGAAACCTTGTAAAAAGTTTGAGATTTTACACTTTGATTTCTGTATGGATTAGAGAAACATGATATAACTTGTTTATCAGTGAGCGATAGAGGGGCTTGTAGGTGGATTTTGTTAACTTTGGATAGTCGTTTTTGGGCTTTATGCTAACCAGCTGCTAATTCTTGTAAATGTCCCAAAATGTTCATCTTAAATTGTTTTTATTCTTGATTTATCTGGTTATCTATAGTCTGCAGTAAGATATTGTCAGGGTATGCCAGATGTTTTAAAATGCACATTATGGCAAATTGTGAGATTTACAAATTGAGAGTACACATGGATCAGTTGTGGATATACTGTAGGTTATAAGGGTATGGATGTCCAGTGATTTTTTTTATTCTTCTCAGAGTCCCATGTGGGCAGCACAATCATGTAAAAAAAACAGTAAGTACAAGCTCATTTGGTGGTAATGTTGGGAATTTCACAAAATAAGATTAGAAAATTCTTCAGAAGTCTGTGAAATTATTGTTCCATTTCCCAGTTGTTCTAATCTGAATCTGTAAAACAGTTCATTATTGTTAATATAATTCATTCTTGCATTCTTGAATGATAACACAGTTTCAGAAGATATTTCTCTTTTTAAAGTTATCTGGCTAACTTGCTAATCCTGCTTTGTGAAATACTCACCATAAGGAGAGGCTGATGAACAACAAAAACTTTTCAACTTGCAGCCAGAGCTTTGCTTCTCATCACAGCCTCAGAGACTTATGGTATAGTTAGCGCACGACGTGCCTAAAAATAGGTCGACTAGACAGGTGCTCTCTTGTGGTAGCATGTCTCCTTTGCCTGCCTGTCTCTTCTCACTTTTATTTGTCTCTCTTCACTCAGTTGCTGAGGAACGGAAGCCTGAAAGAGGCTGGCAGGAGGAAGCAAGCAAGAGATAGTTTCCATCTCTCTCTCTCTCTGCATCCTTCCTTCCCATCCCTGTGTGCTTCTCTCTGCACTGCAGCTTTCTGCAGCCACAACCAGCCAGGCAACCTCCTCCTCTTCAGCACTATGTGAACATATAAAATAAGAGAAATAAGCGGTGTTTGTTGTATCTGTGTATATTGCATTTCCTGAAGACCAGTGCTGTAATCTCTATGTGATGCTGCGGGCACTTCATTGGGATTTTATATAAGAGTCCAGGCAAAACATAGATTACCATGGCAAATAGATATGCATGCACAAACACTATCATCATAACACTGTTTGTTTATATAGGCCGTATCTGTATGCACAGATGTGTAATCTGATCATTCCACGACATGGTGGCTCCATGACTTAAAGATCTCACTTTGTTCCTTATCATGTTGTGTACTTGCTTGTGCCTGACCGTTTTATTTTATGAATAAATTAATGATATTCCTAACAAGAAACTCTGTAGTATCTGGAATTAATGCTCATGCTGCTTTAAAGATGTGTTTCCATGCAAAAGTTGGGGTGCACAGTATAATCTACATAGGAATATGTAGTTGTTTAGGTCAAACGCTGTCCAGTTTGCCCAAAAACCTCTTTCAATTTACCAGCCTCTATGAAATCCTTTGTGCCACACGAGAAAAAAAAACAAACAATCTACCACCAGTTGTTTTCATTATCAAGTGTTCTTATAATTATGGCATGTCGAAATCATAAAAAGTGTTTTATAATTATGATCTAGCATAATTATCTCATAATTATGAGAAATTTGGCATCTCATAATTAGATGAACCTACTCAGACGTTCGCGGTTAACCTCTACAGCATCTGTGTTGCGCAATCACTTTACGGCTTAACAAGGAAACACAGTCAGCCGTTTTACCAAGTAGCTACTGCAGCACGTCTGTGCAGGCTACAGTGAGAGTGAACCACTGAATGCAGATCTCTTTATCCAGTTATTCAGAATTGTGGAACCAACGTAGCAAAAATATTGTTTCAGGCATCAGGGACTCCTCCATCATGACCATGCTACAGTACATGTGGTCTTTTTTTTTTTATATATACAAGTGAAATTAAATAGAAAGGAACCAGAGCTGTGGGTTTCTTAGCTGAGACCATTGCTTTCCTGTAATAAATGTGGTAAAGTGATAAATGTATCCCATATGGTATAACTCTGCATTTCATGTATGCTTTGGACGATTGAAATGTGATATTGTCACCTCATCTGGATCATCTCATTATACATATTAACTAGTATGTACTGTATAATGTAACTACTGTATAGGCTCTTATTTTTAGCTCGAATGATTCTACATTTACATTTATTCATTTAGCTGACGCTTTTATCCAAAGTGACTTACAATTGCTATACACGTCAGAGGTCGCACGCCTCTGGAGCAACTAGGGGTTAATTGTCTTGCTCGGGGACACATTGGTGGATGTGTCACAGTGGGGGATTGAACCTGGGTCTCTCACACCAAAGGCATGTGTCTTATCCACTGTTCCATCAACACCCCTCTATTAACAAATCCCATAAAAAGAAAAAAAAATCTAAAGTTCAATTTTGTATAATGGGTCAGTAATTCCCTAAAACAGCTGCACTGTGGTTTTTTTAGCAAAATTTTGTCTAACTGTGGATTTGTTGGACTATTTTCAGCAGCGGATTAATATACATGTGGTGCTCTAGTGAATATTTGAGGCAGAAGGACTGTGTATGTGGGATTGAGTCATAATAAATTACTGTGTGTGTGTGTGTGTTCATGTCAACGAGTGCGGCAGTGTGGCTCGTTGATGTGTTTTTAAATAGTTTTTGGACATCAATGGCACAGAGGAAGAACGTCTATCATTATGGGTTTTGGTCTTTTCATGGGATTTGTTGACAGTAAAAAAACAAAAAAAAAACATGTTCTTCATGAATGGCCCATGTACAATATGTGATACAACTACAGAAGTGATGAATGCTTCTAGGGATGAGATATCTAATCAACCTATTAATGACACAAGAAGCACTTTGTATCATAGTTTGAAACACCATAAGTTTAGTTTTGAAGTAAAGATCTTGGTGTGTGTGCACGTACCTCTCGCTATAAAGTAAAAAGCATGAGACAGTTTTGTTCTTCAAATATATAATCTTAGTTCAGTCATACAGATATATACATTGTATAATAAATAATATTTATAAAAACATAACATTTACGATTATAAAATAAAAAGGGAATTATTCACTTTAAAACATTTGTACAAAACTTTGGATATAGCGGGGAAGTGGGGGGTTGGAGGGAACTGAACACAGAAAGGTAGGCCCAGGTAGGGAGGGCTGAGACAAATGCAAGCTGTAAGCTATGTCACAAAGAGAGGACAGCCTATACACTACTGGGTAACTTGTGTTTTTGCTGTTGAATATTAATAGGAAGCAGGTGGGACTATCAGAACATGTTGTGTGGAAACCTCTTAAAGTTTGTTCCACCATTGTGAAGAGCCATCCTGCCATCCATCCATCCATTTTTCCACTCACTTCTGTTTGTCACTGGCAGCCATCATGCGCACACACACATGTCCACATCTTGCACACATAAATCATCCAGCTCCTGATGAGGTTTCCCAACCTTCTTCTGCTTAATGTTCCCAGAATCAGAATTCAAGAATCTACATGAACTGGAAGTCTTTCCTGTCCACCCCAAAATCACAGCTATTTTTCCTCAGTGATCTTAAACTCGTTTCCTTTTGTTAAAAAAAATTACATGTCAGCGTCAACTGGGAAGACATCCGAGCCTCTGCAAAAACAAAATTTTTGAGTAAATTACAGCATATTGTTCTTCCAGTATCTCCAAAACCAAAAGAGCAAGGCAGTTTTGGGGTGTACTGACAAGAGTACAAGTTCATAAATCAGGCTTCTTAAAAACCTCAACTGTCCAACTGAGGGAAAATATGGAGAGAAGGATAGTGGAGGATGTGAAAGCCAATCAGAACTTACTCTGCGCTCTGGCCTCCACGTGTCGTCACATGTCCCCCGTTTTCTTTTTACAGTGATAAAAGAAAGATTTGCTTCAGACAAAAGTGTCTACGATGGGCCTGATGAATGCGTGAAGTGTTAGATAAAAAGATTTCCCAACAATCACTTTGCTCATAAGACCAGAATTAGTATTAAGCATGCTAAAGCTTGTCTCAAGTTTGATGCATACATTTATAATGAAACAGCCATAAATGATCTTCTACTCATAATTTGAGCGCTAACTTTCTCTGGTTGTTTTCATCACAACGCTCCTTAGATTGAATAATGTATGACTGTGTTGCATCTCAATTGTGGAAATCATGAGCAATTTACAAGTTGATCGAGCCCAAATGCAAAACAAAGTCGTCATTCATAAGAACTGCTAGCTTGCAATGAAAGAGAATTTGCTCGCATAAACAATGCTCAAATTTTTACCACCTGGAGTTAAGTGTAACTGAATAGTGCATACATATACATGTGTATGGTGGTTAGTTAGTGGAATGAGCATGCTTGTTCACACACATGCTGCATACCTCCAGTCCCAGCCCAATGGTAATATTTCAGAAATGCAGGGCTATAAAATCAGGCTTTAGCATATATCTTCCAGGCTCCCCGGCTGACTGGTGCAGTAGAGTCAGTCAGCAGGGAGTAGCAACACTGAGGATTTCATCAGCTCAGTAGTTTACAAAAGACAGGACTGTCGCACTTCCAACACCTTCCTGCTGTTTTCAGTTCAGTAGTGATTCCAAAGTGGTTTCCTGGGGCTGCCGACGTGTTCAGTATCACTTATGACTAAGTGACGGTGTAGAGGTTGGTTTAGTTTAAAAAACAAACAAAAGGTAAACCAGCCAGACTGGCCAGAGAAGTGAGGTGTTAGTTAGAAGATGCTTTTTAATCAAAAGCAAAGAGTCTGAAAGTGTGTGTGTGTTTTTTTTTTTTTTACTGCATTAATCTCACAGGTAAAAAGTGTTACTGTACATGCCACAAACATTGTGTTGGCATGGAGGGGGTAATAAATAAAGACAAGGGGGAAGGGAGGGTCAGGGGGGTCATGGCCCAATGCTGCAGGGAAAGGAACCAGGGGAAAGTGGCACAACTCTAGCTTCTTCCCATGAGAGCAGACTAGATCCATCAGGTCAACACAGGACACATTCTAGTCAGATATTATGGAAATGGTTGTAGTGGTTTGGAAGACTGATTCTAGAGAAGGGCTTTTACAAAAAAAGGGTATAGAAGTATCCATTACTGATGTGCCATTGCCCATTAGGGCCTGAGTGTATGTGCTGATGAATATGTTTTTGTGTGGGATGCAGAGTGTGCAATTCTTGGGAAGCAGGGGAATCGTGCAAGAGGAGGGGCGTGGAAGGGTGGGTGGGCAGCACTTGTAGTTGAGCAGTCAGTTTGCCTGAAAGCACAGGCCTGTCTCACTTGCATGTGTGAACGTCGTAGACGCGCACACACTCCTGACAGCTGACGTAGCAGCACCAGTGGAAGATGCAGTGACACTTCTCCTTGCGTTTCTCAGTCCGGGTGTTGTGGCCACGGCCGCAGCACAGCAGGTCGCAGCCCTCGATGCCATGTGACGACACGTTGCATGCTCGGTCGCGTGTCCCAAAGGAGCCGGTCTCCGGATTGGGCTCGCAGAAGTTGGGCGAGCCCTCGTAGTACACCAGGTCACGCTCAGTGGGGTGCTTAAAGAAGTTGTACTTTACTCGCAGCGTCTCCACCCAGCCTCGTGACTCGCGGTGCTTCTCCACCACCATCTCCGAAGCGCTGTCGTACTTGTCCTTCAGGTAGTCACCCAGCATGCGGAAGTCTGGCTGCGCCCACCAACATGTCTTCACCTCGCAGCTCCCTGACAGGCCGTGACATTTACAGCGCAGGTGCATGTGGTCCAGGATGGTCTGACAAACACAGAAAACACTTTTATGTTCACTTTGTACCAATGTTTAAAGCCAAGATCTGTTCTAAACTTGACTTAAACTTAACTTGGCTGTAATGCCGTTCCTGGATTTTAAAAAGCATGTACATATTAAAATATTATCTGCTAACCATTTGCACATTTCCTGTCCTAAGAGAAACAGATTCGGTACTCCTAAATATGTCTTAATATAAACTTAAAAGTGGATTTTTATCAGTCAGGCAGTCATCCAACATTTTTAGGTTTTCATAATCCTGATGCCTTAAAGCACTACTCCAGTAAAAATTAATCTTTTGAGTGTAAAGAGTAACTGCCTGTAGGCTTTGAAAGGTGGCCAAATCAGCTTGGATTCACAGCAGTTAAAACGGATTAGAATGGCACAGTTATGGCAAAATGTTTTTTGAACCTTCTTAAATGCGTGGACCACTTCTCCACTGTGGAGCCATATGTTCAGTGCTCCCGTAGCCAAGAATCCCCTTGATAGACTTAAAGCTTTGGAGCTGTGAGGTGGTAAGTAGTTGACAAGTTTCTGTCAACGTTTTGATAAAAAATGTTTTGCCACGGGAATCCACTTTACTGCTGTGCACCCGCCATCCTTCGGAAAGAAACAGGCTACAAAACTTTTGGAGCCGCCTTTAATGCCATACAGGTGGTGAGAATTTGATACTGAAAAGGTAGATTTTGGTTGGAGTATTCCTTTAAAGTGTAATTAACAAAAATGTGCTGGTCTGTGTGAGTGTATGTGACTCATTGCTTATGGGGCAGTCAAGTCAGTCACCACCAAGCAAGATCTATTGGAATTTTGTGGTCAGAAATGTACAGGAAATTCAGTAATGCGGACTAACAAAACCACTAAAGACTTGCAGAGCATGCCAAGAAAAACAATATGCCACTGGCTGCAATTTATTTAAGTGTCATGCAGCTGTGAAGTACAGAGGCTCTGTGCTGCTGCTAATTCCCTCTGAAGTCACTGGCTCACATTATGAGTGTGCTGCCGCAGGGCATATTTTACCTTTGTATTTTGATTTTGTTGTGTTTTAATTCAACAGCTATATTTAGCTGCAGAATTCCCCCGCTGGGGCGGAAGGCAGGTGGCTGGGGCACCTCTGGGTGAGGAAGGGGAGAATAGGGGGGGTTGAGGTAAGGTTGGATGGACTAGTGACATCACACTGTGAGCTTGTCCCAGAGGCCCTCGAGGCTAAATAATGGAGCGTGAGAGGGCCAGGTGGAGAGGAGAGGAGAGGAGACTCCTGACAGGACGGCTGTTCAGTTAGCTCCTGTGGTCTCCCTGGCTGCTCCTGTGTGCTCAGATCAAAGGGCTGTCTTGTTGCCGTGTGGTCCCTCCATTTGCCCCTCAGCAAGCAGCCGGGGAGCCTATTTTCTCCAAGCGGTGACAGCAGCCAGTGATGTTTTAAGTCTGAGCTACTTTCCTTCACTCCCCCTCAATTCACTCGGGTTATTTGACTGGCAGGGAATTTTTCATTGGGATGCAAGGCATGAAAGGCGAGGTGTGGGGGCAAGGCGGGAGGGAGATGTTGCTTAGATGAGTAATTAACCAGTCATTCAAAGTCGAGTGCTCATATTCAAGTGGAAACACAGAAATGTGCGGACAAGTCAAATACCAAATCCCCAGCCGTCATGAACAATTACTTACCCCAAACAGTAATGTTTGCGAGATAAAGCCGGTAAATTTGCAAGACAGTCGAGTCATTGTCCATTGTTTACTGCACCGCGGTTTCAGTTTTTCCCCTTTGCTACAAGTTATAGTACAATGTGTGCAGAGGTTGCCCAGTTAATGTGATGTAATACGGTGCTGTGAAGCACTTTCATGCTACAGTGCTGTAAAAAAATGTGCTCAACAATGGAACCTGCTTCCACATATTCAGTACATACTGTAACTATTAAACCACTTCTGATTGATCAGTGTAGTCTTGTGGTAATCAATTTGTTCACTATCTGGCCAAAAGTATGTGGACTTCCTCTATTTTGTATGGTTTGTGCTAGGCCCCTAAGAGAGAGATCTTAATGCTACAGCAGACAATGATATTTTGGACAGTGTTCTTCTTGGACAGTTTTAGGATGAACCTTTGTGGAAGAACTTCGCTGGCCTGCAAAGAGCCCTGATTTAAACCCCATTCAACACCTCTGGGAAGAATTGGACACCAACCGCGAGCCAGGCCTTATCATCCAACATCTGTGGCTGACCTCACTAACGTTCTTATGACTAAATGGTAGCAAATCCCAGAATCTTGTGGGAGACCTTCCCTGGAGAGTGGAGGCTGTTTTCGCAATGGAACGGAATCAGAAGTTCAACATCACATATGAGTGTAATGTTCAGTTGTCCACATTCTTTTGGCCAGGTAATGTATTTCAATTTGAAAACAGAAACCTAACTGCACATTTCCCTCATACGCGGCTAAATGTTTTTACCGTGCGTCCTGCCTCATTGTTGTGACGGTTCATCGCAGACCGAGCGTCTGGACGATTCTCTCTGGCGTCCGCGAACTCCCTGGATACCAGCACTCCAAACTCTGCATCCTCACTGCAGCCTCCCCACTTCCAGCCCTCCCCAGGAGGTCCCTTGTGGTGGGAATCACAGCCGCACATGGTGGATGTGCCCTCAGCACAGGAGCGGGTCACAGCAAATGCCACGCCTGCTGAGGCTATAGCGTGGACAAATGCTGACTCTCTGGTTGCTGAGAGATACAGAAAAAGACAGAGAGATAGAAAGTGTGTCAGTCTTGTGTTTAACATGGACAAGGCAATCTTTACTACTGCCAACATCCAGACAGGGTTATTGAAAAGGATACCTCCAGGCAAAAACCTTTTAACACAACACTTCATCTTTGAGAAGCCACATTTATGTACCGGTATTTGCCACTGTGAAAGACAAGAAGCCAATAGGAAAAAACTCTAACCCTCTCTTATTTTGAAATATGTAAACATGGTTCATGGTTCACAGTATTTATGTATAATCATCAGCGATGAGGAAGCACATACTACAGGACACATGAAGGAGCCTAAAAGCAGAGTCCCTGCAGTGACATCAGCCCATTGTGGTTGTGTCAGGAGGGTCCAACGCTCAGTGGGATCTCAGTGACCCTCTGTCATCCCTGAGGTGTGCTGCTTTGCATCTGGATAGTGTTTCAGGAATGTTGTCACCCCCCCCACCCATCCTGTTCAGAGCCCAAGGCCTTCTGGTGAAACCTAGCAGTGTGTCGACCTGTTTCTTTTTTACACAGAGGGATGGAGTTACACCTCCTTTGAAGGCAACAGCTTATTATGTAACCAGACACCATTGTTTCACAATCACAGCACACTTACCGTGGCTCACCAAATACACTCCACTAGTATGAAGGTATTTTTGTGTCTTTAATGCAAGCAAAAAAAAAATGTTTTGAGAGCATATTTATCGCACTGCAATCAAAAATTAAGTTTGTAATTAAAAATAAACAGGCCTTTTTTTGTGTCACGAAAAGTTTAAATTGCTAATTTGTCGTTATTGATTGCAAGTTAAAAAGTTTTCCTTGCAAGTCAGAGAGTTTTGCAAGTGAAGGTTTTGACAGTCGAAAAAGGTCTAAATAAGAGATTCTATTGGTGGTTTGACTGACCAATCATGGGTTTGCATCGAACGCATGGCCACGCCCACAATCCCCTCGCTCCGACGGCTCCGACCACTTTCTGGAGACAGAGGTGTAGCCTGTCCAGGCCTTTTTATATACAGTCTGTGGTACAGGCTAGATGGAGGTAAGTTGACATTGTGTTGCTCATTTCAATAGAAATGCTTTTTAAATGTAGTATGACATGATTTAATGATCAGAAAAAGGTCACAAAGTCTATTTCTGTCTCCTTTTTTTAGAATGACATGTATAACAGGTAGCTAGTTAGCCGTCCTGGCATGAAGCTTGACTGGCAGTAGATTTGTGCACTCAGACATGACGAGCTGGGCTAAGGTTAGCTACTCCTGTTTAAAACACATTGTACATGATATCCAGCTAAACTAGCTTTTTGTGACTGTGGTAACTGAAGTTTATGGTCACACAGCACTGTAATAATGCTAATGTTATATTGGAAATACAGACCGTTATCTAGATATTTTGAGGTGCTGTTGCCTTCTTATGTTTTCTCCTATAAAGTTAGATGTGACATAGAAGAATTTATTACACTCATTTATTTTACACCCATAGTTGCAGTGAGGATCATTGGTGACAGCTTGTGTCCAGCATGGTGGCCAGAGAGCTTAGGAAACATCTTCACCCTGCTGGACGGCTCTTGGTCTGGTTGGCTTCTCCCCTTCCTTTCCCCTCCCTGCAAAGAGGTGCACCATCAGATGTCCTCATCATCCACTGTGGCGGCAACAGCATTTAAGGTTAGCTCATTAACTAGCAAATTAGCCAGCATTAAGCAATTCCAAGCTGTGCTAACATAATGTGAGTGTATGTTAGCCGTAGTTTTTAAACCAGCATGCACGGAAGTCAAGACGTAATACAGAAGTGTTATAATTTAGAGTGATAATACTTTTGACAAGTAATTGGCTTTACTTTGCATGGTACTGTAACGGGGTGGTCAGGGAGATGAAGGATTTGCGGACACTATCAGAATCAGTGGCTGTACCTTAAGACTGGTAGCAGGGCTGTAGGGCGAGTTATGTAAAGCTAGATTAGCTAGCAATATGTGTGTGACAGGTGCTTCCTATTTTGTGTCTTCGCTCTCCGGCTGCACTTATTTCTAACCTGTCATCTGTCTCTCATGTAGGACGTGTGACGGCCCCTGCTTAGTCTACTTCTACCTGATATGGAGCGCCTGGGCCCAGTTTGCTACAGGATATAAAAGTCCCACATTCCATTGTGGCTGGCTGTCTCCCTGACAGCACCTGCACCTTACTGCTTTGCTGAACCATTGTTTTTATTTTTACTCCACACCTAATCCCACAGTATATGAACACTACTTATTTTCCACTGTTACTATCCAGGTTCCATTATCATAATTACTGTTACAACTATTACACATTTTTATTTATTTAAGTGTATTAACTGTCCATTATTTCAAGTCATACAAAACAACAATTTTAACCTTTTTACTGGTGTTTTCATGAATGCAGGATAGGATTTTATAATAATGAGATGGTATTTATAGTATTGGTATGTATGGTATTTAACATGTTGAATCTCTTTTTGCAGAAAGTAAAAAATGGAAAGCAAGAGACCAGTGTGAAATCAACTTAGAAGTTTTATAAATAGCTTCTCAATAAATAGTTTTGAAGCTCCCTAGGAGGTGTCATTTATTGTGACCTCTGAGAAGTCTTGTAGATATTGCACAGGTATTGTGAGGCTTTACCCGTTTAGTGAGGCAAAAGGAAAAAAACTAAATCAGCTGATAGAAAGCACCTATTAATCAGAGGTGCACATCAGCTGATTGTTTGTCTTTGCCTCCCTGTTAAACCTTCATGATAGTGTATTTGCCTGAGAAGACCTCAGAGTTTGAAACATTGCAATAAATGATACTGCCTAGTGGGATTCATAATTACTTAGAGTGCAGGTCATTCTTATTTTTTCACTCTAATCCCTTTTATTCAGCACTATGTGAGCATAGTTTGTTGGATGTGCAAGTTTTTGTGTTTGAACTACACAGTACAGTATATCAGAATGTGAAATCTAGCTAATTTGACATCTTTCTGTTGGAGGGTCGTCACTCTCCATTGTCCCCGCCACATCTGCCGAAGCTTACCTAATGTCATGTTCAAACAGTCATGGGAGGTCTTGGGGGGGATCTGGGTTTTAATTTCATTTTTTGAAAATGCGATGGCTGTTCAAGCAGTTGCTCAGATCACGGCTGCCTTGTCGAGAAGAAACGGAGAGAAAAAACTGAAAAAAGCAGCCAAAAGGAGGCAGAGGGAGAAATTGTTAAGAGCAGGAGGTAGAGGTGAATGTTTGTCTTATCGTTGTCCAGCAGACTGAGGTGCGACAGCGACAATAACAACACTTTGTGTCACAGACGAAAACAGGATCTTCATGCCAGGGTGCTGGAGGTAAAGTCGGTGCAGGTCGTCCTCCATGTTGACCAACTTCATGCTGATGACCTCCCGCATGCTGCTGCCGCCACAGTGGATGATGAGGACATCTGATGGTGCACCTCTTTGCAGGGAGGGGAAAAGAAGGGGAGAAGCCAACCAGACCAAGAGACATCTGGCAGGGTGAAGATGCTTCCTAAGCTCTCTGGGAACCATGCTGGACACAAGCTGTCACCAATGATCCACACTGCAACTATGGGTATATGTGATGGCCTAAACCACACAGGTTAACAGCCAGCAATGGTAATACCGCACACAAGCTATGTTTTAAGTACACAAGTTAAGTTATTTTTGCAGTTGGCCACACCCAAATAATTCATGATTTCAAAACACAGACCACATAGTTTATTTCAGGTAAAATATACATTTATTTGCTTTAGCCATACACTGTTTAAATGGAGTGCACACATTTTCATATTGTAGGGTTATATAAACATTTTCTGTTCTATTAATCATTGTTTCTTTGTTACCATGTTGGAGAGAGGTCTGTCCTGGAGGAAGAAAGGCATGGCCAAGGGTGGAGGACTGTTTTATCCAGTGGCCTGCCAATCAAGCCGTACCATGGGCTGCCATGTTGGAGGGGGATTTTGGGTTTAGTTTGTTTTACTTTGTTGTCCATTTTGTTTTCCCCTTATGTGTAAATTGGTATGGCCAAGACACTATATATGTTCCCTTGTGTCTCATTCATTTAGGTCAGTTTGTTCAGTTCATATCCTGTTTTGTTGTATGCTGTTTTGCGTATAGTTCTATTTTGTTGGCCTCTTTTATAGGCCTAGATGTTAAGCTTTTGGTTTCTATTCAACTTTTGGGGGGTAAATAAAAAAAACAAACCCTGTTTTTGAAGAAACTCCTGTTCTCCTCATTGCGTGACTGTTTGGTCCCTGACAGTGTAAAATAAATGAGTGTAATAAATTCTTAGTCACATTTAACGTTACAGGAGAAAATGTAACAAGGCAGCAACACTTCAAAATCTCTAGATAACGGTCTGTATTTCCAATATAACATTAGCGGTCTAAAGCCTATTACAGTGCTGTGTGACCATAAACTTCAGTTACCACAGTCACAAAAGCTAGTTTAGCTGGATATCGTGTACAATGTGTTTTAAACAGGAGTAGCTAACCTTAGCCCAGCTCGTCATGTCTGAGTGCACAAATGCACTGCCAGTCAAGCTTCATGTCAGGACGGCTAACATTAGCTACCTGTTATACATGTCATTCTAAAAAAAGGAGACAGAAATAGACTTTGTGACCTTTTTCTGATCATTAAATCATGTCATACTACATTTAAAAAGCATTTCTATTGAAATGAGCAACACAATGTCAACTTACCTCCATCTAGCCTGTACCACAGACTGTATATAAAAACACCTACACCTCTGTCTCCAGAAAGTGGTCGGAGCCGTCGGAGCGAGGGGATTGTGGGCGTGGTCATGCGTTCGATGCAAACCCATGATTGGTCAGTCAAACCACCAATAGAATCTCTTATTTAGACCTTTTTTGACTCACAAATCTTTTCCACTTGCAAAACTTTGTAACTTGAAAAACTTTCTGCCTTGCAGGGAAAACTTTTTAACTTGCAAAAGTCTCTCACTTGCAAAACGGTTGAACCTGCAAAACTTTCTGACTTGCAAGAAAAACTTTTTAACTTGCAATCAATAAGGACAAATTAGCAATTTAAAGTAAAAAATTTAAAAAGACACAAAAATACCTTCATACACTATAGCTCTGTAGCTCTGTTATAGAAAAACACACACACACACACACACACACACACACACACACACACACACACACACACAGAGGTATGGGGAGGTGTCCATCAGCAGTGGCTTGACTTTTCAAGAGCATTGAGTGACCTGAGTTTCTGATATGCGCAATTGCATGATATGACTTTTGAAATTTGTATGAACACGACCAGAGAATTAAACCTTGTATTTTACAGACCGCTGTGGCTACTAAAGCCAGAAATTCCTCAGCATTTCCACCGCCAATGAGACCCAATCAGACTACTTTACAAGCCACAGACAAAGTTTACTTGTGTTTTGCTGGAAGCTAGTCTCATGTTCCCACCCTGAATGTGTTTGCCAGCAAAGTTACAACATAAACATACCTTTTTATGTTAGGTATTATTATGATGCAACAATGATCAATATCTGTGCTGTTTTATGAATATCACTAAAGATAAATTATTTTTTATGTATCTATATTTCTGACATTTCTGAGTGTATATATGCTAATGATTTGCAGGGTAAAAGGATCATCTCGTGGTCTTTTGTTGTGAAAATGTAAAACAGATACTGAAATAATGTACTATATGTTCAGTATTATTTAAACAATAATGCAAAGTGTTATTTTTTTAGATGGACAGTATCTTATTTAATCTAAACACTGAAATAGCAACTAGAGTTTTGTGTGTCTGGAAACATTGTATTTTTACCATTCACTGGTAGTAAAAGGATACAGTTTTGTTTAAATCTCCAGTGAATCCTTGCATGATTGGATGACACACAGTCCTCTGGTTCGGCATCCCTGCTCGCCCTGGCAAGCCTAGCTGGGCCCTCCACAACAGGGGCCTGTGAGCCCTGGGCCCCTGGAGCTCTGGCTGTTAGCCAAGGCTAGTGCTGCTCCTGCTACCTGCTGGGCCCATCAATCCGCCTTTGTTTTCCTTGTGTCACACTGTATTATCCACACAAAGGACCCAGCGCCCCCACAGCCCAGCTCTGCCCGGAGCTGGCATTCCCTAAACCCCCCACCCCCTACCACCCCATTTCTCTCCAGCCACCGCTCTGCCAACACCCTGAGCTGAAATCCCATACACCACCACCCACCACAGGACCTCAAACCCCCACTTCCTCCAGGAATCCACCAACAGTCCCACCATGGCCAACACACAGCTTAAGGTGGCTGGTGCTGGTGGTTGGTAGCTCTTCCTTCCCTTGCTCGAACATTTCCATTCATCACTACCAAAGTGAGATGCTCTTCTTCCCTCCTTCCTTCCTTCCTTTGCTTCCTCATCCTAAAGTGCACACCCGGGCTAGCTTGGGAGAGATCCCCTTTCAGCCTGTTTTCATGACAGAGTCAAAAGGGCGTGTGAATGGGGCGTCCGTGGGAGCTGGACTGTGTGAGGCGCGCACTGGTCTTCATGCACAGTAGGGGTTGAGCGGAGCCCCCCGGCCCTTTTCTATTGCCTGTAATCTCATTTGGCCTTCCCTCTCTTTTATTTGACTGAGGAGCTTGGACTGCTCACACTGCCCATTTCTGCCCAGATTCCTTCCCCTCTGACATACAGGGTAATTCATTTCCAATCAGCAGCCTCACTCACGACACACAAACTTCTTCCTTCTATTATTAGGGACTGCAAAGCCTTAAGCGGGACACCTGTGCCTATTGTTTCCCACAGTCAGGTTTAGTGTGGAGATATCTTACAATAAGTATTCTGCGTGTGAAGCACCTGATGGATGTCTCCAGTATATCAGCTGTACTTGTCAGGTTTCGTTGACAGATTTACCGCATTGACCCTCTTTCATGTAAGAGAGTGTAAACACAGTTGGGAAAACCAAAAATAAGTCACTGACTGAAGACAAATGCGATATTGAAGGTAAAGATAGATGGAAGTTGAATAATGTGCCAGTACTTGTACCTGCAGTCATTTCTCACAGCAGCCAGGAAAGGTGTATATTATTGTAATTGCCATAGTTAGTCTTTTGTCAGCAGAAGCCCAGAGAACAGGCAGGGCTAACCCTTCAGGTGGAAACTGTTAAATGCTATGTTTTGTAAGAGTTTGCAATAGCCTCAGCTGTATAACCTTTACGGACAGGTGTTGTTTGGCTCATTTAAATCCTTCAGATACAACCCTCAGATACATGTGTACAGTACATAGTTACAGCTGTAAAGATTCATGGCAGCCTTTTTGCTTAACAATTTACCTTTATCTAGCACAGGGCCGAAGATGGCCAGGTTGTCCTTGATGGTGGTACAGTTCCATCGGCGGCCCCTAAACTGATGCTGGCATTCCTGGATCCCCAGCTTTACACCCTCGGCAACGCTAGGCATGATTTCTATGTAGTTACGACAGAAACGCAGTTGCTTGGGCACCAGGCCGGGGATAGAACCACACAGGATGGGTTGGGAGCCCAGAGACGAATACTGCTGCCCAAGGGCAAGGGACCTGTGACACACAGAGAGGGAAAGCATCATTTAGCGAGATCTGCTGGATAACATCTCTGCGTCTGTGTTAAGCACTCTAGGAGACTGAGAATAAAAAGAATTGCAACATGATCAGAAGAGGTTCATTACCGCAACCAAACACCCAACAGGCCATCACTGCAAATAAAAAACTCTTTACTTTTTAGGGTTTATTTTGAACCTCCATACGTTTTTGGTACTGGCTAAAGTGTCCATAGCACAAAAACCTGTTTCTAGTACTGAAAGCTAACATTGTTGTATCTCTGTTCAGATTAATAATCATCTTGTCGACGTATTCTTTGGCCAATTTATGCCAACATTTTGGACAGTTCTATTAACAGCAAAGTCTTGTACTGCTGCTTGTGTTTAGAAAACATTTAACATGTGAGAATTTTTACTTATTTTGTTAAATGAACATAAAGGTTCTGTGTCTGCACTGGTATAGAAACATTTCAAATTATAACCAGCCTTCGTTCTCTCACAGTTTTATAGGATGTGGGAAGTGAAACTGCTCATCTCAAAGTAAAAGTGTGTGCCCTCCCTGAACTCAACCCCACAATAGCAGTGATGGTGACCTGCCAGGGAGGCCCCCACGAAAGGCAACCTGCTCTACGAGCGGAGACCACTTCTGTATTCATTAATCTCAGGTTTAACTTTAAACGTAGCTCTGTGACAATGCATTGATTCATACATAAACGATACATGAGTGTTTAATTGATTTATGTGCTTAATATAGTTTATACAAAGAGCTGCTGTTTATTTTCATTTCTTTTTTCCACCGGGGGGAGGGGGGGGTGGAGAGCTAATAGGCCCACTTCAGGGCAGGGATACAAGCTATTAGCACTGACTTTTCAAAGTGTTCCCACTTGTTAGCATACACAGATCTACTGATCTAACAGATAATACACAAGAACCTGTCAGCTTAGTTTGGGAAAAGCCCCCGTACACAATTTCAAATATATAAAAACACCTGCCTCGGCAGTTCATCATTAATTTGTGGTTTGTATAGTTCAGGCTGATTTTTGAAGAATGACAGTGTATACAGCTGAGCTTTCTGGTGATGGATGAAAATACCATATCTGAAGCTATGTGCCTTTCCAGAAAGCGCATGCAGATGTGCCTATGCAGGGATTAATCACCACAATGAGACAGACAAGATCTGCTTGTGATGCCAGAAACCATTATAGTTTCATTCAGGTAATTAATTTTAATTGCCTTTTATTTCTCTTGAAATAAAAGACAGAGAGAGAGAGTGTGAGAAGACATGTTTGCCATGCCCATGTTTTAACATGCTTTTTGTGATGACAAGCTCCAACAAAACTGTATGGTTTCATCTAGAAGCATATGCAATTACTGTAGGATGTCAGATTCAGATTTCTTGTTTATGTATTTCTGGGCATAAAGTATATCCCCTGAAGAAACATACATGTTTCTGTACAGGTCTACATTCTTAAGAGATGGGCGCTTTACAATGGGTGTATGTGATTTGGGTGTTTGCAGGGCTAGGGATGTGAAGATGTGCTGCCAATTCAGAGAAAGGATTTATCAGTTTTAAGCAGACTCTCCAGCACTTGGCTGAGAGGATCATGGGGGAACAATTGACGCTGCTCAGATCAGAGCGCCACTCAGGATGACCTCAGGATCCCCGCAGGGTGCAACCCAA